GCCACTACCTCTCCCAGGTCACCAATGGTCCATTCCATAGACTGTCCAGCAATCAAAGACGTGACCTAATATAAAAAGATGATCTGGGCCAGGTGCGGTAGCTCACACCTGTAATCCTAGCACTCTGGGAGGCCGAGGCAGGTGGATAGCTCAAGGTCAGGAGTTCAAAACCAGCTTGAGCAAGAGCAAGACCCCATCTCTACTAAAAAAAATAGAAAGAAATTAGCTGGACAACTAAAAATATATAGAACAAAAAATTAGCTGGTCATGGTGGCACATGCCTGTGGTCTCAGCTATTTGGGAGGCTGAGACAGGAGGATCACTTGAGCCAGGAGTTTTAGGTTGCTGTGAGCTAGGTTGATGCCATGGCACTCTAGCCTGGACAACAGAGTGAGATTCTGTCTCAAAAAAACAAACAAAAAAAAGATAATCTGGCAAACCAGAACCTCTTGTGAATTTAAATCTGGAAACAAAGGGAGAATCCATAAATTGACAGCAGGAGCAAAAGCTTAAAGATTGCCATGATGTAGTGTTTGGGACATGAAAAGTCATGGCACAAAGAGTCATAAGGAAACAGAATAAAGGAGATGAATTTTTTTTTTTGAAACAGAGTCTCGCCTTGTTGCCCAGGCTAGAGTGAGTGCCGTGGCATCAGCCTAGCTCACAGCAACCTCAAACTCCTGGGCTCAAGCAATCCTGCTGCCTCAGCCTCCTGAGTAGCTGGGACAGGCATGCGCCACCATGCCTGGCTAATTTTTTCTATATATATTAGTTGGCCAATTAATTTATTTCTATTTATAGTAGAGACGTGTCTCGCTCTTGCTCAGGCTGGTTTCGAACTCCTGACCTCGAGCAATCCACCCGCCTTGGCCTCCCAGAGTGCTGGGATTACAGGCGTGAGCCACCATGCCCAGCTAGGAGATGAATTTTGAACAGAAGGCAGAGGAAATGTAGAGATGAAGGGTGGAGGGAGTCAGTTGGCAGAGACAAGACTTATAGAGAGAAACAAATATGGAAAATGGCTGTTTATGTTAACCACAGCACTGTCCTTTGGCTCTTCCTAGATTCCTATGCCTAGCATAATGCCTCATTCAACAAATGTGGCAGAGGAGAGAGTGTTTATCCTCACAGTAAGTGAGGTTACCTCTTTGCTTAAGGTGACTTGTCTGAATCTCTGCTCCTGTAATGGACCCTCTACCCCAGCACCCTGTTGAAATTTTTTCTTAGAGTGCTGGGGTAGAGTTTGCTAAACACTCATTTAATGATATTCTCCATCTTCCTTGACTTATTTAATCTATCCTTTGGCCCTTGTGATGTCCTAATTTTCCTGTATCTGATCACTCCTATGCCTTGGCCGGTTTCTCTTCCTCTTCTCATTCTCTTAAGTGCAAATAATCACCATGGGCTGTCTTCAGCTCTCTTCTAGGTTTATATTCTCTTCTTACCAAGTAAGCCATTCATTTCTAGGAGTTCTTATACAACCTCTATAAAGGTAACTCCCAAATCTGTATTTCTGAGCCTAAGACTGGGTCTTTGAAAATCAACATGACTGAAACAGAGTTCAGATTTCTTCCTAAATCAGTTCCTTCTCTTGACTTCCCTATTTGTATTGATTGCAGCAACAATCTTCCAGTTTTGAAATCTGAGTTATTTGCAGTAACTGTCACTCCCACAGTCCATGCTAAAGGTCAGGCCTACACATATCATGTGGCCGCCACTTCTTCTATCTGGTCACAGATGGGCCTCAAACCCATCTGTGGATTTTATTTTATTCTATTCTTCCTTCCTCATCATCTAATCAGTTGCAAAGTCTAGTTAATAATAATAATAATTGCTAATGCTTCTCTGCCTCCAAAATCTTCTGTTGTTCTTCATAGCCTATCAAATTAAGTTTTGTAAGATTTTTTTTAAAAAAGGGCCCCAGAATTCAGAATTTTCTATAACATATTGAAAATTCATATTTCCAGTATTATTTCCTATGGCTATGCTGTACACTAAAAAATTTTAATTCACCATCCTTTTGCATATTAATAATTCATTTAATTTTCATTAACCAAAAGATAACAAAAGATTTAAAAATAAGATTAATTCATTTTTTGTACTAGGCTGAGTGGGCAATTCTGTGGAAGTGAAGAGAAAAATATCTGTTTATTCTCCAGCCTCTCAATATGTGCTTAGAAGACAAAACCCAGAAAAATATCCCATCAGGAAATATGCAGGTACAGAAAAAGAATGGATTTTAAGAAGATTGCATTTAAGCCAATCAGGGCTTAAAATGCAATGTCTTGAAAACTTTAAAAATAGAATAAGATAAAACTTGTAGGATAACCTGGACACTTGAAGGTGTTATAGGAAAAAGGATACCTACCAGAGTCAGTTTGTAATCCTGGTGAATGCATTGTCTTTTGAAGGTGGATATCATTTAGTAATTTTATTCCATGTGTTTTAAAAATATATTTAAAGTATACAGTGGTTGTCAGTGCTGGGACAGGGGGAATGGGGAGTGACTGATAATTATGGGATTTCTTTTGGGGTTAATGAAAATGTTCTGGAATTAGATAGTGGTGATGGTTGTACAACTTTGTGAATATGCTAAAAACCACTGAATTGCACACTTTAAAAGGGTGAATTTTATGATGTGAAAAATATATTTAGTGTTATTGATTGTTTATATGATATGATTGGTTTATCATTAATTCATAAAACATGATATTATTGATTGGGTTTTTTTATGGCTAATTCATCTTGCCAGCTAAGGTTTTGCCAGTTACCCTGACTTTCAAGAATTTATCCTGTGCTATAAAATAAGGGATTAATTATATTAGCTAATATTCACTGAGCATTCACTGTGCAAAAGGCTTCATATATAGTATTTTATTTAATCTTCATAAGAACTCTACAAGAATAGGTATTATTACCCCATTTTTAAGGAAACTGAAGCTTAAAGAGTTTAAGTATCTTGCCAGGGTCACATATTTGAACTCCTTATCTGACCCCAAAGCCTATTATCTTAACCATTGAGTCAGTGAAGAGCCAATTTAATATGTTTTGTGTAACTGAATTTTTTAAATAGATCAAATTTGTGAGGCATAATATCCGGAATAACTTCCTACTGCTCTAGAGGGACATATACAATTGGAAACCAAAGGTGATCCTGAAATTTTTTTTTTTTTTTTTTTGAGACAGAGTCTTGCTTTGTTGCCCAGGCTAGAGTGAGTGCTGCGGCGTCAGCCTAGCTCACAGCAACCTCAAACTCCTGGGCTCAAGCAATCCTGCTGCCTCTGCCTCCCGAGTAGCTGGGACTATAGGCATGCGCCACCATGCCTGGCTAGTTTTTTCTATATATATTAGTTGGCCAATTAATTTCTTTCTATTTATAGTAGAGACGGCGTCTCACTCTTGCTCAGGCTGGTTTCGAACTCCTGACCTCGAGTAATCCGCCTGCCTAGGCTTCCCAAAGTGCTAGGATTACAGGCGGATTACAGGATTACAGCCAGATTCTGAAATTTTTGTACCTGGAAATCTTTTAGGAAATCACATCAATTGCCAGCCCTTTTGGGGAAAATCTGACCTCTAGGCAAAAGGAGAAAAACTAAAGTCAGGAATTAATACTTATCCTTGTAAAGCCCTTACTGCAGGAATCACTTTCTAAGAAAGCATGTATCCTCTTTCCACTCACTGTGCACATTCTCAAAGAACAAAGAAAAGGCAAGGATTAGAGCTATGAAGTCCTTGGAAACTTGCAGAAGAAATATTTCATTTTTACCAGAGATTTTTTTTTTCCTGAGAAGTTTTGGGCTGTAAATTTTTGAAATAATGGCTAATAAAATATTTAAGGAAAGTTTATTTATTGCTTTTCAGCCTTTATTCCTCCAAAGTAATTCTTAAACTTTGATGGGCTGATTTTCTGAAGAATTAACTTTAAGAGCAGAGAAATACAATTTATCTAGAGAAACAAACCATATGGCACAGCCAGATCAAACACAAGAACAAGATACATTTCTGCTTCACAAGTTATGCCATTTTCACATAAGAAAGAAAGATTCTGAACTTTCAGACTTTTCAGAGCTTCTCAGAGTTAAAAGAGATTTTAAGTCACTTAATTCACTCCTTTCTGGCACATTCCTGAACATTTGAAATAATGGGAAGCTCACTATCACAAAAATAACTTTTTTTACTATTATGGAAAAGTGTCTATTTTTACTGACTTGGCCTTAAAGGAATATATATAATAGGAATAAGCAATAGTGTTTATTTTTACCTCTAGAAATTATAAGCCAAATGCTTATAGCCCTGTTTGCTTCAACAGCTAAGGACAGAAATGAGTAAATCTAAAGGCCCCATGATAGAGGAAATTAGAACCTGATATTAATGATTAATATACATATAATGAAATTAAACTTTATAAGAAGTGGAAACTGGCAGAAATGATGATAACTCAGAATATAAAGGCCCATGTGTCAAAATTTCTTATTCATAAGTTTTAGTGAGTTTTTCAGTGTTCTTGTAGTAAATAAACATTTTCCTTTGTCTGTCTGACAGTCAAGAAAACACTAAGTTCAGAAGAATATAACTTCCTTTATTTTAGCTCTGAAGAGTTCTTAAAGGAAGGAATTTAATTAAAAATGTTTAACTCCTATGAGAATCAACTGTTTTAAATATAAAATATAATATGTGAGCAAACCAAGTTACACATAGTAACTTTTAAATCTAAAACTAATCAAATGTTTACATTAACAGGGAAGGTAAATTTTTGTATAGCATGTAGTTTAATTTTTTTCAAAATCTTTTGGTGGTTTTCATTACTTCCCTACCAGCTTCTCTAATCTAAATTCTCCGTTATTCCAAGGCCTGGAGAGAGTATAGCAGCTACAAGCTGTCAAAAGTTAAATACTTCCCTTTATGAATTTCCTTTCATGCTCCCGAATCCATATCCCCTGTTGATCCTGTTTTTCACACTATGCCTAGAAAACCTGCTAAGTTAGAAAAAAGTAACTAACCTTTGTGAAGCTCGGTCATCAGGCCATGAGAGGGCAGAAGTGGACACTTGGATCAGTGCTCAGTAGGCCCAGCATGGCTGCAGACCAGGAGGCGGGGACTGGTTAGTTTGCTAGGAATGGGCTGAGAGCATGACAGAAGGAAGAAAAGTTCAGGAGCTGGAGAGAAGGGGCAAGACCAGACTGAGATCTGACAGATTCCGTGACAGTTTGTCAGTTGCTTTGATCATTATTTGCTTAAGAAAAAGAGAAACCCTGATTGGAATAGCTGACCTGCCCACTTTTTTTATTTGGAGGGGAAGAGGGCAGTTTATTTAGATTCGAGGGGGTGGTAGGAGTCTAATCTTAAGGTTTACAGATCCCCATTTATGGACTAGGCTGCTCTATGAAAGAGGAAATAAACACCATCATCAACCTATAAGCTTAATGCATGATAAATGACTACCTTAACCCTGCTTATGATCCCATCAACAGCATTAAGATGCCAGCTGTGTGGCTTTAATATCGAGCTAGTACACCTCTCGCATTTCATTGAAATAGCCCCAACTCTATCTCTTAGAAAGAAACACAGGCCTGGAAAAAATCCCAGGTTCTAAGGAAGCAGGATAAGAAAAGCTTTATTTCATACAGCTTTCTTCAGCAGTTTTAGCTTGCAGAGATACACACCAGCAGCACTGCGCTCCTGAGTGACCTATAAAGAGCCATCATAGAACCACTTTTTCCTACAGTGATTCCTCTAACTCAATATATTTTCTTGAATGTCTAGCTTTTACCTAGCTGTTCAGCCTTAATACCCACAACGCTTTTCCCAGTGTTTGGAGTTGCCCAAATGTGTCATGCTTCTGCAGCTTTGCACATGCTATCCCTTCTACTGAGGGTCTCTCCACCCCTATGCCCCAGTCATTATCACTTTATCAAACTCTTCTGTGACCACCCTTCCACCAGGCTTTGCCCACTCCCCTGACCCTTGTAGAAAATATTTCTGGCTCCATACCAGAGTTCCCAACCTCAACACTATTGATATTTTTGATTAGCTAAGTCTTTATGGGGGGGGGGTGCCCTGTGAATTTTAGGTTGTTTAGCAGCATCCCTGGCCTCTACACACTAGATGCCAGTACCACCCGCCACCATAGTCATGAAAAAAGGTCTCCAGACATTGCCAACATGTCTTCTGGGGGTAGGGGTTGGAATTACCCCCTCAGCTGAGAACCACTGTTTTACACATTTCTATAGCACCCTAGATCTTTGTACATGTCTACACTACTGTGTCTTGCTCACCTTGACAGTACATGGCATTAGTTGGATCAAATTCTTTGTCAAATAAATAGCTATGAGATGCTGGTGATCACTTAGAAACTATAAGCCAAAAAAATTAATTTTATTTTATCTTGATTATTTTTGTTGTTGGCTAAAATACTTGATGATGCTTAGTATAGATGATTATACCAAAGCCTAGCCTCTGCACTTTCTTGAAACTTAGGCCAGGTTAAAGACTGAGAATACTAGCCTAGAAGATGGAAGCCTTGTCTCCCAACCAGAGGACTGAGTGACCATAGCTAAGACATTCAACTCCTTTGGGTACTAGATCCTCCTTTAAAAATGTGAATTCCTAAGACTCCTTTCCATCTCTAGAAGCCTCTGATTCCAAATCCCAAGCTTCACAAAGGGGTACTTCAGGCCTGTATTTCACTATTTAAAAATGAAATGAGGTTAACCTCTGATAATTGAACAAATAAATAAATAAAAATAAAAACGAAGTGAGGTGCAGGGTAGATGTGATGTCTAAGAAACCATACATATCAAGTTTTACAATACAATTAGTAGGAAAAAAGTCATAACGTTATTTTTATTTTCCAAGTCTCAGTTTTACCATATACAAAATAGGGATGATAATATCTACTATAGATTAAGGGGTATATGTATGAGCATAGATCTCCAAAATGGTAATAGCTGTTATCGTTATTGCAACTAACATTGCTATGCATCAAAAATTTTTTTTGGTTAGCAGAGTCTACTCTGTTGCCGGGCTAGAGTGCCTGAGGCAAATACCTAGGTCACAGCAACCCTCAAACTGTCCTGGGCTAAGTGATCCATCCTGCCTCAGCCCTGGTAGCTCGGACTACAGGCAGCACCTCATGCCAGCTAGTTTTTCTTTTTTATTGTTTGGCATTTCTTTTTATTTTTAGTGAGCAGACGGGTCTCGTTTGCTCAGGAACACTTTTTTTTTGAGACAGGAGTCTCACTCTGTTAAGCCTAGTCACAGCAACTCAAACTCCTGGGCTCAGAGCATCTGATACCTAACTCCTGAGGTAGCTGGGACTATCAGGCTGCCACCACCAGCCGGCTAATTTTGTATATATATATTTTTGTTGCCATTAATTCTTTCTCATTTTTATTAGTGAGACGGGGTCTTCGTCAGGCTGGTTTGAAACACTCCTGACTTGAGCATCGCCCACCTGGCCTACCAGATGCTGTGTTACAGGCGTGAGCCACCACACCCGGCCCAAATCAACTTTTTGTCTTGAAATACATCAACATTCAGGCATACCTCAGAGATATTGTGAATTCATTTCCCAACCACTGCAATAAACCAAATATCAAAATTTTAAAAAATCACACATTTTGGTTTCCTAGTTCATATAAATTATCTTTCCACCATACTGCTGTCTAAGTGTGTAATAGTATTGTGTCTAAAAAATGTACACACTTTAATGAAAAAATAATTTATTGCTGAAAAATGCTAATAATCATCTGAGCCTTTAGCAAGTCATAATCTTTTTGCTGGTAGAGGGTCTTGCCTCAACGTCGATTTCTGCTGACTGATCAGGGTGGTGGTTGCTAAAGGTTGAGTGGCTGTGGCAATTCTTAAAATAAGAATTTGCAACGTCAATTGACTCTTCCTTTCACAAAAGATTTCTCCATAGCATGCAATGCTGTTTGATGGCGTTTTACTCATAGAACTTCTTTCAAAATTGGAATCATCCTCTCAAACTCTGCTGCTGCTTTATCAACTAAGTTGATATTGTAATATTCTAAATCCTTTGTTGTCACTTCAATAATGTGCACAGCTTTTTTTTTTTTTTTTTTTTTTTGAGACAGAGTCTCACTCTATTGCCCTGGGTAGAGTGCCAAGCCGTCAGCCTAGGTCACAGCAACCTCAAACTCCTGGGTTCAAGTGATCATCCTGCCTCAGTCTCCTGAGTAGCTGGGACTATAGGTGTACACCATAATGCCCAGCTAATTTTTCTATTTTTAGTAAAGACAGGTCTTGCGTTCAGGCTGGTTCAAACTCCTGAGCTCAAGCAATACCTCCCACCTCTGCCTCCCAGAGTGCTAGGATTACAGGTGTGAGCCACAGTGCCTGGCCTGTTTGCAGCACGTTTACTGGGAGTAGATTCCATCTCAAGAAATCACTTTAGTTGCTCATTCATAAAAAGCAGTTTCACAATTGCTTCCTAAGAAGCAATTCTTGCCTAGGTGTTGGGTTCTTGTTCTTGCCTAGATGTTTACCTCTTCTGCCTATGATGTATGAAGTGCCTAGTACTGTGTCTGGAACATAGCTATTGTTAAATAGCAGGTGTGATTTTATAAAACCTTCTTGCCTCAATTCTTAAGGGAGACAATATAGTCCTGCTCCCACTAAAATAAACTCTTCTTTGCATTTATACTCCAAATTCCTGATGAGTTGGGTTAGACAATGAAATAACAAAAGTCAGTGTCCCAAAACAAATCTATGGTGATAGTAATCAGAATAGTGGTTGCCTGTGGGATATAAGAATTGTCTAGTGGGCCGGGCGCGGTGGCTCACGCCTGTAATCCTAGCTCTCTGGGAGGCCGAGGCGGGCGGATTGCTCAAGGTCAGGAGTTCAAAACCAGCCCTAAGCAAGGCAGGACCCGTCTCTACTATAAATAGAAAGAACTAATTGGCAACTGATATATATATAAAAATTAGCCGGGCATGGTGGCGCCATGCCTGTTGTCCAGCTACTTGGGAGGCTGAGACAGAAGGATCGCTCGAGCCCAGGAGTTTGAGGTTGCTGTGAGCTAGGCTGACGCCACGGCACTCACTCTAGCCTGGGCAACAAATCGAGACTCTGTCTCAAAAAAAAAAAAAAAAAAAAAAAGAATTGTCTAGATAGAAGGCATAAGAGAACTTTCTAGGGTGATGGAATTGTTATCTATTTTGATTGGGATGGTCATATGAATGTATTAATATATATTTTCCCAAATTCATCTAGTTATACATTTAAGACTAGTGCATTTTGCTGTCTGTGAAATATACCTCAACTTTTTAAAAAGTCAGAATTCCCCTTCCTACTATTTTCCCCTTAAAACAGAGACCCAAAACACAAATGTCTATAGGAGCTTGGCAGCTAAGTTAAGTGTGTAATTGGACTGGATAGAATGTAATACGAGGGTCGAGGGCTGCCAGCAAACTGGAGAGAGTATGTTCTTTATTGTGATCACGTGGACAATACATGCAAAAGCAGAACCTATATTTACTAGGCACCTCAGGTGTTTTGGTCAGTAGTCAAGTTGTGACACACTGTGCTATGTCACAGAGCAATTAATAGTCTCCAAACTGGGATACGCAAGATGATCTACTGAAATGTAGGAAGATAAATATTTAGAATTTTTTTCCAATTTTTTTTAATTTGCATGTTTTCTTCCTCGTTTCATTTTAGAGCATAAAAAGGAACGCATTGAAGGGTGTATACCACATTTATCTTGCATACCCTGTACCAAATCAAGCAACTGAGGTCTAGGATGTGGGCAACATTCCCAAGAATGCAGCGAGTTCACAGACATGACTCAAGGATAGGCACTGCACCGCTGGCATAACCGAGACTCCATGGGGGAGGCAAGGCTGCTACAACCACTGTAAGTAAGGAACAAGTTTTACCGCACATTTCATTCTTACAGTAAGGGAGAGAGCACTGCAGAAATTACTCCCCCTCCCATTCTAAAGTGCAGGCTGAATTGTGAGTGTTATGTGAATCTCTGCAAAAGAAAAAAGAGCTAGCATAGTGGGGGAGTGGAGCACACTTTGAAGGCCTGTGACCTAGCTAGGCTGTTGTTTGTTCACAGAGAAGCATACCAACTTCCTGACTAGCTTACTGGTGTGGTAGATGGCAAGCACACCGATGAAGCCAGGGTGAAGGGGGTGCCTTGGCAGGTCAGAGAGCACAACTCTAGGTTCCCGTGTACCCAGGCCAACTCTGTAGTCTGGTCTCACAGGCCGCTAGGAGTCCTCACAGGGCATGGTACCTGCCAGTATATTCCAACTCACCCTGCTGGTTGGAGAGGTGTTCAGAAAGGACTGCCTGCTTTCCACTTTAGTGGAATCAGGCAATCCAGAGAAACACAGAGATAGCACCCTGCCTGGTCCATTATTAAAATAAAGGTTCTATTGCTCTAAACAGGACCCAGTGTGGTTAATTTTATGTGTCAACCTAACACACTCATTATAATGGATGCTTAAGCAAGAATGAAATTTATTTATCTCTCAAATAAAAGTCCAAACGTGTGTAGGGCTCTGGTTTACAAAGTTGTCAGTCTCCCAAGTTCTTTCTGTATCCTTGCTCCACTGTCTCTAGGTTGTTGCCCTTATTTATATGGTCTAAAATGTCCACATGTGGCCATCTAAAACTTGATGACTATGAGAAAGAAAGGGAAAACTGCTTTGAGACAACCACATCTCTGGCACACTATGGCAACCAAAGTCCAGCCCTGAATCATGAAACCAAAAGAAACAAAAAGCAATCTCAGAGTATATGAAAAATAAAAGAGTTTATATACTCCAGATAACAATCATAAAAAAAATCAGGCTATTAAAGCTCAGAGAATTTTATGTCAACAACCCACAGTTCCTGCACAAGAACATAGAAAAATCCAGCCAGAGTCTGTCTGTCCTTAGCAAAAAGGCACACATCATATATAAATGCGGTGGTACTGACGATGGCTGATTTTTTTCAAACAAACTGGGCAAGTTTTAGTATATTTAAAGGAAGTGCAGAGGCACCGACTACAGAAGATGTGACCACATTCTGTAGAGTAGACGTGTCTTCTACTAACTTCAATCTCTGTGTACCCATCCATGCAAATTCGACACCAGATATAACCAGGTAGTGTATGACTTAGAGTTTCTTCTTCCAGGGCATTATGGTGGACACTGTTGGTCACATATACATCTCTGTCCCTCATCAACTCCTCCTCATCAGTGCTCACCACACAACTGCCAGTTTGGCCTTGGTGTGACCTTGTGTTTCCCCTGGGCCTTCTGCTTCGTTTAGTATTCACAACAGAGTCATGATGCGTCAGGTCTATAACTACAGGTTCTTGAGACTCACAGGTGAGGTCAATTACTTCATCACTTTCCCCAAGTTCTATCAGTTCTGCGTGCAGGGCCATGTCAGGAGATGGGCCTCCTTTCACAGCTGTAAGGAATTCTCAGCCTTGTCTGGAATTGACCTTGCTACCACAGCATATCCCAGTATTCATTGTGCTTTTTTGGATTTAGTCTTCAGAGAAGTGATCTGTGGCAAAGTTTATAGCAAATGTTGAGGTTCTCAATGTCTCACCACTGTTGGTCACTCTCTGACTTACATAAGAATTCAGAGATCAGGTTTTCCAGTATATATGAGCTCCTATTCTGGTTCCAGTCCTGTCTTCACTTCCACAGCTGCTGTGCTAACAGAGGAGGTGAATCTTCTAGGAACCACTTCTAAGACAGCTTAATCTGAATTTTTAACTGAAAAAAAAAAAAAAGAAAGAAAAATTAAGCTTTAGCAATGTTTAAAATAAGATTGTATGGTAGTATATATAATAGTACTATATGTATACGTATGAAATGTATAGAGATATGTGGAGAAAATGCATAATAAAAATTTTTGATATTTATGCATTTTAACAAAGTTTAGAGACCACTGCTCCTCTTGAAACTGAGTGTCCCTCCCCATTCCATGTCCTGATGGTTGTGAGGAAGAGGTAGTAAGAATCCAAAGGGCACTTACATGAAGAGAAGTACAACGTCATTATACACCAAGAAGGGTCACTATTTCATCCAAGAGCCATTATGAGCATCTCAAAGCAGCACTCATTTTTTTTTTTTTACAAAGTAAAAATGGAGAGACCAAAAAGCTCTTTACACATTTGAGTTTCTAATAGCAAGTAAGAAATAAACCATTTAATCTACTTGCTCAGGATTCTCTTTTTAACAGAGGCAACAAGTGGAGTTTTCAAGAACTTTAGTCCAGATTCTTTTCTAGGAAAGAGATGATGAAGTATTGAGCATTAGCTATAGAGAGACTTGGTTTAGTCTAGGTTCTAAGACCTTTGGGCACATGACCTAGAAGTTATTTAAGTTCTCAAAAGTAATGCATCATTAATCATTAGAGAAATGCAAATCAAAACCATAAAGAGATACCATTTCATGCCAACTATAATAAAAAAGACAGAGATAATTATTAGTGAAGTTGAAGAAAAATTGGAACTCTCATACACTGACAGTGGGAATGTAAAATGGTACATTCAGCTTTGGAAAAGAGTCTGGCAGTTCTTCTAATGTTAAATACAGTTTCCATAATACCCAGTAATCCCACTCCTAGATATATATACCCAAGAGAATTAAAAACTTATGTCCACATCAAAAACTTATACATGAATATTGATGACATTATTCATAATAACATAAAAGTGGAAACAACCCAAATGCCCATTAACTGATGAACGGATAAACAAAACTTTACATAAAGTATTATTCAGCAATAAAAAGAAATGAAGAAGTACTGATACTTGCTATCATATGGATGAACTTAGAAAATGGAAGTCAGTCACAAAAGACCACATATTGTATGTTTTTGTTTACCTGAAATATCATGAACAGGCAAATCCATAGAGACAAATTAGTAGTTTCCTAGGGCTGAGGGGTTTGAGAGAAATCAGGAGTGACTACTAACGGGTACAGGTTCTCTTTTAGGGGTGATGAAAATGTTCTAAAATTGAGGTGATGGTTATACAACCCTGTGAATACACGAATACTCATTGGATTATATACTTTTAGATGTGTTAACTGTGTGGTTTGTGAATTATGTCTCAATAAAACAAACACAAATTGACAGACATGCTACAAAACACAGTGTGACTCGATCCGGTTTTAGACATAAACTCCAGAATTTAGTGAGGAAAATGGGCGGAGCCCAGAGGAGGGCGCAGTACTCAGCGCTCCACAGTACTCACAGCCCTACTCAATTAAATAGGCAGTACTTCTCCAGAACTCCATGCACATTTGCATCTCCCCATCACTGCCTTCAATATTTGCGTTTCCTGACCGGCATGCCGCTCCTCATTCCCGCTCTGTCCAGGGAAAGAGAGCCCTTGAGACGAAGCTTGGCAGCCGAAAGCAGTGCTTACCACCTCTCGGCTCCACCCATGCACCCTGCAGCCCATTAATGACCTAGATATTCTGTCCTGTCCCGCCCAGTCCTGCCGGGGCAGTTATTCAGCGATAAGAGACCAGGAAGGGTGTGCTGCAGGAGCGTGCCACTTTACCGGCCCTCCGCGGCTTCTCCGTCCGGGACAGAGGCCCACGCAAGCCGAACTTGAGTGCCTGGCTACACCAGACCCGGAAGGAGGACCGGGCGGCCACAGGCCAGGGAGAGCAGTTGAATGGAGAGAGAGAGGAGCAAAGGGAGGGGACGGCGCGGCAGAGGACACTACTCACAGCGGACGTGCCCAGGCTGCCCACGGCGCCTAGCCAGCAGAGCCAAGGTCTCCAAGTGGCGCCTCACGGTGCAAACTCCAGCTGAATTGCGTAAAGCACAGAGTTCTTTCCCCACCCCCAGTTTTCATTCGCTTTTACGGCTTTTGAACTGCCCAATCAAAACCCGAGCCCAGGGTGGCTTGTCACCGGTCTCTGGGCAAAAAGCGCTGTTTCAGATTAGAAAAGGGGACTTTCCCGTGCAATGTTTGCTCTTTCTCCGAAGCCTGGTGATTTCCGAGAAAGAGGAAGGGCAGGGTTGCTTTTCTCACGTACCCAACCTCCACCCACCCCCCCGGTAATGAGATCAGCAATTTCCCACTCTCTATAACAAGCGAGTCTCAGTGGAGGCAGTAGCCCCTCTATGGGGCGCTTTGGAAATTAATAGGTCTATTTTTGGTTGTTCCAATGATGAGGTCACTGGAATATTTTTCTGGAGGCTTAGGGCCAGAGGTCCCGACCTACATACAAACATACTTAATATATGAAAAACCTGCTTATAATCTGGGCTTAAAGTCACACGTAAAAACGTGTTTTATTTTTCAGCTATTTTATTTCTTGACTATTTAGTGACCACCTACTACCCCAGGCTCATATACACTGAATTTTCCAGGAATGTAACTACCAGGCAACTCAAAGGAAGATATATGTTGGTTTTTTGTTTGTTTGGGGGATTTTACCTAGAGATTTTCTCCATTTCAGAGAAACACATCAGAGCCAGCAATACCATATTTGAATCTGAGCTATCACTACAGAGTGCCTCTGTCTTTAATGCCACAGGTTCACAGAGATCTTGGGTCAGTTGCAAATGCCTGACACTTCTTCACACCAGCCAGTTAAAACAGGCTAGAGCATTTACATACCAAACTACTTGACTTTCATAACAATAGTAGTAAAAGAGACACCACAAAACATGTGTTATAAAAAGGGGGTGTTGGAAAAAAGGAGGATATTGGATACGATTGGAGTTGAAATGTCTCATCTACACTGGAGTCCTGGGGACTGTGCCCACCTCAGTCTGCCAATCCTGGGCTTGGATGCGGAGTCCCTGTCCTAAAAATCTGGCAGATAAGTCTCAATTACACAAGTGACTTGCTTACTGCACCATCACTAGTTAGTGGCTGAAAAAACTTCATTGTAGAGGTAAGAAAACTTAGGCCAGGAAAGGTTAAGAGAGATGAGTAAGGATGAACTTTGACAGAGGCAGGACTAGAATCTCCTGAGAATGCAATTAGATTTCCTGAATTCCCGGAATATGAAGCTCATTCTTAGAAATCCTGAGGCTGCTGGAAAAGAGCTGTGCCTGCAGGCCTGCCCTTGGAGAAACTGTTCAGAGTGAGTGAGGACCATCTGTTACCCAAAGCCCTTTAGGGAAAGGGATTCCTCCACAGCTTCTTTTTTCACCAGCACAGTGACAAGTTTTCCCTTGTACGGGTTGAGTATCCCTAATCTGAAAAGCTGAAATAAAAATGCTCCAAAATCTCAAGCTTTTTGAGTGCCAACATGATGCTCAAAGAAAATGTTCATTGAAGCATTTTGAATTGTGGATTTTCAGATTAGGGATGTTCAACTGGTGAGTATAATGCAAATAATTCCAAAATTCAAAAAAAATCAGAAATTCGAAACACTTCTGTTCCCAGGCTTTTCAGATAAGAGATAACTCATCCTGTATCTCCCAGTATCTCCCTGCTGCGGAAATTTGCTCTAATGAGCTATGAAAATAAACAATCACTGGAAGTAAAAGCAGTTGCCTGGAGCCTTACATCTTATAGAGCCCTTCTCATTGCATCCCCTTGTCAGAACAACCATGAAATAATGCCTGGCATAGAGTAGACACACCATATTTATTGAACAAATGATTGAGTAAATAAATTATTGATGCAGTAAATACATTTTATAATATAGGAATAATTATCCCATTTTGTGGCTATGGTGACAAAGAGTCAAGTCAGTAATATGACTTTTTCAATTCCTTTTATGGAATTAGGATTCAAACTCAGGTCTGAGTCCAGTGCCATTCACACTTAATGCTAGCCCCTTAGAAGCTTTGAATTTGTAATAGGAGTTTGAGATTGCATGTGTTATGGGCCCAGCAGAGAAAGTTAACAGGAAAATCACAGTAGAACTGATGCTTCACCCAGATCTGATTCTGTGAGCCAATCCCCAGGTTTTGCATATTTTGCTGCTAACAGCTAGCACCTGCAGATTACCCTCAACCTGCAAATTACCCTCAGACTTGGAAGTATGTGGGAGTGTTACGTTTCACCCCATTCACCCCATTTCACCCCATTCCACAAGCTCATATAGCCAAAAACAGACTGATGTGGAGTACCAAAGCCCAGTTCCTTTGCATTAAGGGAGGACAGACTCTGAGGTGTGTTCTTTGTTCTAGAGCTCCCTGTGTGAGTAGGCTGAGTGTGGGACTTCTGAAATCACACACTCTCTTGGCTTCTTCCCATTCCCTGTCCTTCATCCCCTCATTCCCTTGCTGTTTTTTTCCTGGGAGCCTTTTCTTTCTTAATAACTCACTTGAATCCAAACCCTTGGCTCAGTGCTTGCTTCTACAAGAACTCCAGAGATACTGACTCTTCAGATGATGAAAATGGTATGCGAACTTGAAGATAGCTAAGGATACTGTCTTAGTCTGTTTTCTGTTGCTATAACAGAATATCTGAGAATGGGTAACTTATAAAGAAAAGAAATGTATTTCTTACAGTTCTGAAGGCTGGGAAGTTAAAGGTTGAGGGGCCACATCTGGCCAACTTCTCTTGAGGGAAGTTGCATCTCTTGTGCTGCATCATAACATGGCTAAAGTCATCACAAGGCAAGAGGGGCTCAGAGAGCCAAACTGGTGTTTATAACAGGCCCACTCTTGTGATAACTAAAGCACTCTCATGATAACCCAAACACTCCCATGATAACCCATTACTCCATTAACCCAGAGCCCTCATGACAGTCACCTCTTAAAAGCCCTACCTCTTAATACTGTTATATTGAGGATTAAATTTCAACATGAGTTTCAAAGGGGACAAACATTCAAACCATAACAGACAGCTAGAAAACCATTTCAAAAGACACTGTGTCCTTGTGAAGCAGCAAACGTCCTCTCTGTCTTTTCTGAGTGAAAACAGTAAAGAGAGGCTGGGTGCAGTGGCTCACACCTATAATCCTAGCACTCTAGGAGGCCAAGGCGGGTGGATTGCTTAAGGTCAGGAGTTCGAAACCAGCCCGAGCAAGAGTGAGACCTCGTCTCTACTAAAAATAGCAAGAAATGAATTGATCAACTCAAAATATATACAAAAAATTAGCAGGGCATGGTGGCGCATGCCTGTAGTCCCAGCTACTCGGGAGGCTGAGGCAGAAGGATCGCCTGAGCCCAGGTGTTTGAGGTTGCTGTGAACTAGGTTAACGCCATGACATTCTAGTCCTGGCAACAGAGTGAAACTCTGACTCAAAAAAAAAAAAAGAAAAAGAAAAAGAAAACAGTAAAAAGAAGTGGTCTATGGGGGAGGGGAAGCCTACTCACTGCGGGCTTCAGTTGGACATGTGTATTTTACCAAAGATATATAGATATCTTCTCAATTTCTTAGACTTTTTAATCATCTATGTTGTGGAGGACTGAAGAAGATGAATAACTGTATCCAACTAATGGGAACAGATGTATAAAGTTTAGTGCATAGGAAGTGCTTGGTACATACTCAACTGTTATTTTTAATTGTATTTACTAGTTTTTTCCTGTCAGCCCTTCTTGTAGCTCTCTCAAGTATCAGAATAGCTTTTATGTATAAGGTATGCAATGAAGGTACTCGCAGATACTTTATGATTTCTTTTAAGATATCTAGGACCCAAACATTAGTCTTCAATTTTTTTCAGTCTCCAGAGAAAGACAAGGCTAATTTTTGCCCCTAAAACCTTGATGGCTACATAAGAAACAAAATATTTACTTTATTAAAGAAAGACCTTGCATTTTACCTCAAGGGTTTACACAGGGGTCCTCAAACTTTTTAAACAGGGGGCCAGTTCACTGTCCCTCAGACCGTTGGAGGGCAGGACTATAGTTTAAAAAAAACTATGAACAAATTCCTATGCACACTGTACATATCTTATTTGAAGTAAAAAAACAAACAGGCAAAAACACCTGCATGTGGTCCACGGGCTGTAGTTTGAGGACGCCTGGTTTACAATATAAGACAGACAAGTGAAAAGCAATAGCTCAAAAAATACTATGAAAGTGTTTGTTGACAAAAACTAGAAAAGACAATATTTGCCAATTCTCTGTATTGTTTCCATTTATGACTTGTTTTGTCATTAGGGATAATGACAAAATTAAGAAATATAAATTATTGTTTAACAATAACCACTGTTGAAAAGATAATACAAACACCAAAAATTTCCTGAAAAGCTAGCCACAGCAAAATAAACACTGATAAGTATTTATGTCTGGGTGGTAGGATTAACAAGTTTTTTTTTTCTGCCTATATAAACATTCTATTTTTAAAGTAATGAACATGTACTCAAATAATAAAAGCTACACCTGGGCCAGGCACAGTGGCTCACATCTGTAATCCTAGCACTCTGTGAGGCCAAGGTGGATGGATCGTTTGAGCTCAGGAGTTTGAGACCAGCCCGAACAAGAGTGAGACCCCATCTCTACCAAAAATAGAAAAAATTAGCTGGGGATGGTGACACATACCTATAGTCCCAGCTACTCAGGAAGCTGAGGCAGAAGGATCACTTGAGCCCAGGAGTTTGAGTTTGCTGTGAGCTAGGCTGACGCCATGGCATTCTAGCCTGGGCAACAGAGTGAGACTCTGTCTCAAAAAAAAAAAAAAGCTATGCCTGGCATGGTGGCTCACATCTGTAATCCCAGCACTTTGGGAGGCCAAGGTGGGAGGATCACTTGAGGCCAGGAGTTTGAGACCATCCTGAGCAATATAGCAAGACCCCTATCTCTACAAAAATTAAAAAAAAAAAAATTATCTGGGCATGATGGTGCGTAGCTGTAGTCCTAGCTACTTGGAAAGTTGAGGCAGGACATAGACCTCTAGTCAACCCCAGCAATAATGAGGGCGACACCCGGCAAGGGTGCGATGGATCAGGTCACCCTTGCCGGCTGACAAAGCCCTGTGGTTACACCGTTGTCTGGGCCACACCAGTGAAAAGACTATGGCTCAAGTGAACCAGAGGTGGAATCTACACATACCTATGGCAGATTTTTGAAAGCTTGTCGCCAATGTGAGGTATGTGTCCAACAGTACCCACATCATAGACATCTCCCCACGGTTCCTGGACATGTCCGATGGGGAGACCATCATTTGGAGAGATGGCAGGTTGACTGTGTCAGTCCCCTGCCTTGGTCTAACATGCTGGTGTACGCCTTCACAGCAGTTGATGCCACTACCGGCTTCCTTTTTGCCTACCTGGTGGCCCAGGCTGACCAAACATCTACCATTAAGGCATTGGAATATTTAACTGCTCTATATGGGTGACCCCTCACTATAGAAAGTGATTGGAGTAGTCATTTTATGGGACATGAAGTCCAACAGTGGGCATGCTGAATGGACATTGAATGGAAAGCTCAGGTGCCCTACCGGCTGCAGGCCACTGGCATGATAGAGTGATACAATGGTTTATTGAAGGGGAAGCTAAAAAGTGGAACTTTTCCCCCATCTCTCCACATTGGACAGGGAAGTTGGATCAGGCTGTTCGGGTGCTAAATGAGTAGCCTGAAAGGGGAGGCCTTTCCCCTTACATTATTTAACCTACAAGCAGATCACTCCCATCTGATTGACAGATGTCACCAAGGACCTGTTGATGTGACCCCAGGTAACTCAGGACAGAACTGCTCTGCTTCCAGCCCTGACACCCCTCAAGGAAGGAGAGACAAAAACCTAGACATGGTCATGGAGTATAACAGGCCCCTAACCCAAGTGGATTAGCCCCATGGGAGGATGGGTTACAATACCTTTCCAACATGTCACCTGCCATGCTCACCCCTGAGCAGCAATCGGTGACAGTCATGGTGGGCTGCCATGGAAAGGGCACCCTCCTCAAGGGCACTTTAATTCTTGCCCTTTGGGTAATTCCTCAGGTTTTCCTTTTCTTGGCACCTGAAACTCCAGAACCTATTATAGGTGAGACTGTGTGGTACAATCACCCAGGACAAAAGGCAATTCCAGCCACAATCTTGTCCCAGGATGAACAGGTAGCCTGTGTGCTGCCTTAGTGGTCCCCTGTCTGCTCTTTCTCACCAACCAGGACAATCCAGGGTAACAGCATCACCTCCTGGGCTCACACTGAAGCTCAAGTCACAAACATTTCTCTCTGCTGGGTCTGCATGGAGCTCCCAGTGAAAACCGCAGGGGGCCTGCCCTAGAGCATCACCCCTACTTCTCTGCAGAACTAGACTTTCCTGACCATGTGGGGGCCCCAGGGCACCGACTACGACTCCTTTCACAGGGTCACACCCACATCCCACTTTGGGATACACCGTTTGGGATGGTCAGGGTTGGCTATTAGGGGGACAAGTAGAACTACGCCAAGTGACCTCCCCCCTTATGTATAGAACAGGGATGGGATTAAGAAACCACACTATGGGAAGAATTCCAAAAGAGTTTTGTGCAAACATTACTTGGAATAACAATGCCACCCACTGGTGGAGTGGAAAACCTTTGGTGGGGACTGTCCTCACCGATAGAGTGTCCCCAGGATTTTTGTGGGTATGTGGAAGACATGGGTGGCTTTATCTTCCTGCTCATTGGATGGGAAGATACACATGGGGATGGCTATACATCCTTGGGAAGGTCCTCCCCACCTTTACCTAGAAGCTATATAACTGGGATGCTGTGTTCTCCCATTGGCATCGGGTGAAACGGACTCCATGGTGGTTTTACCTGGTAACCATCCTTTTTCCTGTGGATGGGTGGAGCCATTAAGGTAGAGATAGAAGTGAACGCCCTAGTAGAGCATACTGCTTGGGCCCTGAATCAAACCAGGCAGACTTTGACCCTCCTGGTGGGTGAAGTCACCCAGATGAGAAAAGTGGTTTTGCGAAACCACATGGCCCGTGATCTTCTTACGGCAGCCCAATGGGGTAAAGGCACAGTCATATGCATAACTGAATGCTGTGTTTGTCTACCTGATCACCAGGAAGATATCTTCTCTGCCTTGAAAGATGTCGATAGTGAGGTACAGGCTATCCAACAGTTAACTGGAAACCCACTGCAACAATGGTGGGGACGCCTCTCATCATCTTGATATTGGACCCTACTAATGTTAGGAGCTGTTTGCTATTGTTTGGTAATACTATGCTAGTCCCTGTATTGTTGTTGTGGCCTTTGTGTTCAAGGGCCTCTCTGTGGGCCCATTTCTTTGGCCAAGAAACCTATTACCTGGGGGTGGAATGTAAGGGAAATTCATTTGTATAGGCAATAGGTTTCTTAGGCCAAACTAAAATAATGGCCAGTGTGTCTTCTGCCAGCCTTCCAGGGAGGCATGAGTTAGCACGGTTATGTAACTAAGGTGTTATCTCCTATGTGAACCCATGTGATCACCCATTCCCATGGCACGTTGCCACTATTGTTCTGAGCCATATATAGGTGCTTGCCATCTTCTCAGACAGGCTCTCACCACAGCTGCATCCCCTCAACAATCAAGAACATGTCTCATCTTCCTGCTGCCACCTGCCTCTTCTTTCAACTTCCAGAAGCCTGCTCTGGTGCACTTGCTAGCCACAGAGCCCACTCCCCACAGGGGAGTTATAGGGACAAAGAAAAAGGAAAAAAGCGATTGCTGCCAACGTTTTTTTTGAGACAGAGTCTCACTCTGTTGCCCAGGCTAGAATGCCGTGGCGTCAGCCTGGCTCACAGCAACCTCAAACTCCTGGGCTCACGCAATCCTCCTGCCTCAGCCTCCTGAGTAGCTGGGACTACAGGCATACACCACCATGCCTGGCTAATTTTTTCTATATATTTTTAGATGGCCAATTAATTTATTTCTATTTTTAGTAGAGATGGGGCTCAGGCTGGTCTCAAACTCCTGAGCTCAAACGATCCGCCCACCTCGGCCTCCCAGAGTGCTAGGATTATAGGCGTGAGCCACCGCGCCCGGCCAGATTGCTGCCAATTGATAGCAAACGGCTGTGAAGCTGCTTCATCTGTTTTTTATTTTATTTATTTCTCTGTGAGACTGGCTTATCAAAGTCTTTGAAATGTGGTCTGGCAGGAGCTAGAGTGGAGAGCTCGCATCCCTGTCATCCACTTAGAACTCTTCAAGGCTGTGAAAACGAACTCTTAAAGATACTGCGAGTGGTTAATCTGAAAGACAACGAGTTCCAGGTGTTTAATCAAACAAAACAAAGGGTAGTTGTGAGTTTTCCCTTCAAAGGGGCAGTTATGTGTTGTGAGTTTATTCCTCTTTTCTGTTTGATAGTTTATCTTTCTCTGTTAGCTAATTTATTAACAATGCTGTCTTTTCATTAAGGTGTGGCCCCAAAATAGCCTCAAGATGGGGCCAGACACCAGAAAGACTAAGTGACTAGAGGATTAGAGGGTTGGAACTGTCAGCCACACCACCACTCTGGGAAGGCTGTGCAGGTGCTGTAGATCAAGCTCTATACAAACTTTTTTTTTTTTTTTTTTTTTGAGACACAGTCTCACTTTGTTGCCCAGGCTAGAGTGAGTGCCGTGGTGTCAGCCTAGCTCACAGCAACCTCCTGGGCTCAAGCAATCCTACTGCCTCAGCCTACCGAGTGGCTGGGACTACAGGCATGCACCACTATGGCCGGCTATTTTTATATATATATATATTAGTTGGCCAATTAATTTCTTTCTATTTATAGTAGAGACGTGGTCTCGCTCTTGCTCAGGCTGGTTCTGAACTCCTGACCTCGTGCAATCCACCCGCCTTGGCCTCCCAGAGTGCTAGGATTACAGGTGTGAGCCACCGCACCCAGCCTGTTGTTCCTTGAACAACAAAATGTCTTATTGCCAAGTTCTTTGGGCATACCTATGCTATATTCTTACCAAGGTATATTTGAATTGTTTGAGTGCATATCTGCTCCTTCACTAAACTGAGCTATTGGGAGCAGTGTTGTGTTTTATTTATCTTGGTCAATACCTAGCACTAGCTAACTCAATTCTTGGCTAAATAAAAAAATGTACAAAGCTTGTAATCATGTATAAACTATGCCTTGAAATTTTCAAATCTAGTATTTTTCATTCCAAATACAGTTAGCCTTCCATTATCCATGGGTTCCACATCCATGGAATCAACCAACCATGGATCAAAAATATTTTTTAAAAAATCAGATGGTTGAGGCCGGGCTCAGTGGCTCACACCTGTAATTATAACATTCTGGGAGGCTGAGGCGGGCGGATTGCTTGAGCTCAGGAGTTAGAGACCAGCCTGAGTTAGAGCGAGACCCTGTCTCTACTATAAAGAAAGAAATTAGCCAAACAACTAAAAATAGAAAAAATTAGCACATATCTGTAGTCCAAGGTACCTGGGAGGCTGAGGCAGGAGGATCGCTTGAACCCAGGAGTTTGAGGTTACTGTGAGCTAGGCTGACGCCACGGTACTCTACTCCAGGCAAGAGAGTGAGACTCTGTCTAAATAAATAAATAAATAAATGGTTGTGTTGGTACTGAACATGTACATATTTTTCTTATTATTCTCTAAATAATACAGTATAACAACTATTTGCATAGCATTTACACTGTATTAGGTATTATAAGTAATGCAGAGATGATTTAAAGTATACAGGAGGATGCATATAGATTACATGCAAATACTACACCATTTTATACAAGGGACTTGAACATCCGTGGATTTGGGTAGCCATAAGGGGAAGTCCTGGGACCTATATCCTCATGGATACCCACAGACAACTGTATATCTATTGCTTCCTAAAATATTAAATCCTCTAGATAATTTGCTCCCTCTTAAAAAGTCTGCATACTCCTCATGTCCTGGCCCACAAAAAGAACTCTGGCTAAAATACAGAAGCTTGGCCCAGCAGACAGCTGTGTTACCTTAAGTCATTTAACTTCTCTGGGCATCAGACTCCTCATTTGTAAAATGCAGGTCACTGAAGCCCTTTCCACTGTGAGCTAAAGCCTACATACAAGGGTTTACACTCTTCACTAAGTGGCACTTGAAGACTGTTTCTCTGTTTGAAAACAAAAGGGTAAGAGGGGGAGTGATATACAAGAAACTGAACACATGAAGATTTACTGGTGGTTTAATTAATGAAGTCAAAATAGGTATGAACATGTCCCTCTTTAACAGAAGTAAATATGAATTTTATGTGAGAAAATGTTTAGCCTATTATAAACAATTTCCAATAATCCTTTCAATTATATTTCTCAAAATTTTCCCCAAATTCTAAGCAGAGTTAGCAAATTAGAAGTTAACTTAAACATGCCTGTCTTATTATCCTACTTTGTGTGCAGAAGCGATTACAAAGTTCAGAGTTGATCAAGATGTTGATGTTGGACATGAGAATTCTCTCCTCACTTCCTTTTTCTATACCTCACCTGTACCACCTCTAAGTTGCCAGCCCTCCTAGTGCTACATACCCCAAACATAGAGACAGTGCCCAACATAGAATTATAAAGAAGACAATGTCTGTTGTTATCCTTATAACTGCCTAAATTTTGTGCATGAAGTATACAAGCATATCAATATTAAAAAGAAAAAAATGCAATTTTTAAAAATTAGTATCGTCCAAATGAGGCATCTTCAAACCTGAGGAAAAAAAAAAAAGAAAAAAGGTTAGCAAATGCATTCATTTCATTTAAATAATAGATCTCATCACCAAACTTGTCTAGCTTCTGCTATATAGGTCACCTTTTTAAAAGAAGTAGCTGCAGATGATTCTTGAAAACCATTACAAAGAGTATATCCCATTAGTTTGTCTCATTGGTGCTCCCAAAATCTTACAAGAAAAAATGCTGGTATGACATTTCAGTCAAAGACAGATCACCTATACAATAGTGGTCCCTTAAGATTATAATACCTATGTTTACTGTACTGTTTCTATGCTTAGATATGTTTAGATACACAAATACTTAGCATTGTGTTACAATTGCCTACAGTATTCAGTACAGTAATATGCTATACAGGTTTGTAGCCTAGGAGCAATAGGGTATACCATATAGCCTAGGGGTGTAGTAGGCTATACCATCTAGATTTGTGTAAGTGTACTCTATGATGTAACAACAAAATCACCTAACAATTTCTCAGATCATGTCCCCTTCATTAAGCAACACATGACTATATTAGAATTTAGGTCCTGGCTCTAACATTTAGTAACTGAGAGACTGGGCAGATCACTCAACCTCTCTGGTTCTCTCTCAAGTCACTTTCTCTGTCCTAGAATAGAACAGGAGATTTGAATGGGTTTTCATCACCAAGGTATCCTGGGTAGTATAATTTTGTCAGAAAGCTAGATTTTCTACTTCTGGACTCAAACTTAAGAGGCAGTGAAGCCCAAGGTCCTCCCTCTTTCATGCTGCTGCTTTTTTTTTTTTTTTTATATAGATAGGGTCTCACTGTGTTGCCCAGGATGAAGTTCATTGGCCCATTCATAGACCAACTGTAGCCTTGAACTCCTGAGCTCAAGTGATCTTCCTGCCTCAGTGCCTTAGCCTCCCAAGTAGCTGGGACTAAAGGCATACACCACCACTCTTGGCTAATTTTTTTTTTTTTTAGAGATGGGGTCTTGCTATGTTGCCCAGGCTGGTCTTGAACTACTGGGCTCAAGCCATCCTCCTAGCCTGGCCTCCCAAAGTGCTGAGATTACAGGTGTGGACCACAGTACCCAGCCACTTCATGCTTCTAGAGCTCCTTGTAGATACAACTATTACAGTATCTTTATATTGAGTTATAACAATGTTTCCATTTCTCTCCTCTAGTAGACTGGGAGCCTCTAAAAGGCAAACACCATGCCTACACACAGAGGCTGAACAAGAGGTTGAAGGCATGAGACATCTGCAGAACTGTGTCACTCTCCCCCTCTGGCTGAAGAATAAAGCAACTGCTACACAAAGGAAGAGAATGGTTCACTTTTGAGGGCCCTCTTTCTCAGCAGAGCTGCCCAATATGGAAATGGCAGAAGATGAAAGCCTTGCAGGTGGTGTGGGTAACCAGCTGCCTCTATCCTGCCACACCACTGGCAACTCCTCTGCCTTCCCTGTAGAGGGTCAGTGATGCTGGCAGAGCCAAACCTGAGGCCACACACCTTCTTCATGCCACCCCACAGGAGAAGGGAATGTGACTCTCTAGGATTCTTCTTTGCCTGCTGAAATGCTACCCTGATCAATGTTCTCCATACAGTGAGAGTCATCATGTTAGAGCTGTCTATGTCCCAAGGTTAGTGAAACAAAAAACATTTTCTTAAGGTCGAAAACCCACCTGCATCATGCTGGTTACAGGTTTCGATCTATGAAAAAGACAATGGAGAAAGAAAAAGGAAAACATTAAGTTTTATTTTTAAAATACTATGTACTAACAAATGTCTAAAACTGTTAGAAATAAGGCTGGTAGAATAGGCTGCTATTTCTAACCAAGAATACCCTGTTTACAGCTACCCAGTAGGACTCAACCCTGCCTACTAGCTTCAGATCCCAATCTAGCCAGAGAGTACTGGAAGAGCCCAGGATTACAGGGTGCTTTGATAGTGGGGCTTACAGACAAAGGCTAATGCCTTCCTGAGATGCCCTGAGGTACTAAGCATCAGTGGGGCTACCAGGAATGCCTACCTGAGATGCCCTGAGGTACTAAGCATCAGTGGGGCTGCCAGAGGAAGCTGGCAGGTAGGAAGTATTGACAGTGCATGTGCGTTCATGGAAGTGCTACTGCTCCCTGCTCTCACTGCAGGGAAACTACTGGTTCAGGGACCATGCTGTGCAGAGGTCTCTCAGCAGGTACCACTAATTAGAGCTTTAAGGACATTCCATGAAAACCCTACTATGCACACTTTTTATGTCAAAGCAGCTTTACGCTGTGGGTCTATTCAGATATAACTTTTAGCAGCTAAAGAAAGAACTTAAAACTTACCCCACACAACGACCTGGGGCTTATGGAGAGTGGTGTGATTCACTCGGCAGGCGAGTTCATCCTTGCTATTGGGGATGAAGTCAGTGTGGACCAGGGTATTGAAAGACCAGTCATTGCTGAAAGACAAGTCTGATTGTTCCACGTTTTCCATCTTCTTTCCATTCTTTAACAATTCAATTTCAATCTGGGGTGGATGAAATCCAGACACATAGCAGTTCAGGAAATTTGGCTTTCCATCCTCTGCTGGGTGCCGTGAGTAAACCTGCACCTTTGGCGAACCTGGGAACATCAGGGAAAGACATGAATGTTGTCAGAGTATTTCACTTGGGGTTAACTTGGTCTCAAGCTATATCAGACACCAAGAGTTTAAATCTGATCATCTACTGTGTTTCCCTGAAAATAAGACCTACCCATAAAATGAGCCCTAGCAGGATTTCTAAACATTTGTGCAATATAAGCCCTACCACGAAAATAAAACCTAGTGATGGGCGTGGCTACGCAGTGCATCTGCACAACCTGTGCATTTCGTCATGAAGCAGTAAAGAAGATGAGCAGCCCTTCTCATCTGCCCCATCAAGACAGCTACTATCCCAGAGGTGACCGGAAAGGTGGGGCAGCCCCACCAATGAGGTCGGCTTCCCCTGTCAGGTCTGGCCATCTTGTGTGTGCTGCAAGCTGAGGCTTTGGAGGGGAAAGTCTCCTCAGTCAAGTGAGGAGCGGGACGCTCCGCTTTGGTATTGTCTGTCCTCAGGCAGAAGAAGGAAAGCTGTGGCTGCCATTTTACTATGATGTTCCAGAAGAAGACAACTTAACTATATTTGAATAAATGTTGATTATTGTACCGTACTTAAAAAAAAAACACATCCCCTGAAAATAAGCCCTAAGGTGTCTTCTTGAGGAAAAATAAATATAAGACCCTGTCTTATTTTCAGGGAAACATGGTATTTCTCCCAATTCCATTTCCACTCTGGCCAAAAAGGCTTCCACTTTCCCAAAAGGTCACCTCCATTTTGAGAAATAAACCATGACTTAGTATCTTTACCAGATAATTCTTCTACACATGCCTTTTTGTGTTTTTTTTGTTTTTTTTTCTAGCAGATTTCTAACAATATCTTTTTTTTTTTTTTTTTTTTTTAGGAAACTACTTTGTGCTGGATTTTTAAAAACCTTTCTCTGGAGGCTCCCAAGAACCTTTGATGGCTTCTCAGCACCTGTAGAATTCCTTAACACATCACTCAAGAGTTTATGTGATTTGGTCCCATTCTACTTTTCAAACTTTGCTTCTCACTTCACATATCCTCCATAGTACCCACATCAAATTGCTCCTGGTAGTATATCCTGTTTCAGCTCCTTCAATTTTTGTTTGTTTATTCCCTTCCTTTTGGTTCCTGCTCCTGCCTAAATCTACACCCTGACTTCCACATTTGATTTCCTAATATGTATTAAATGTATAGTAAAGTGTCTGGCACACAGCGATTGTTCTGTAAGTGGCAAATATTATTATTTTTTCCTTGCTCAGGTTCCTAAGCAGATCATCCCTTGGTATCTTCTTACCAAACAACACAACCTCTTTATTTCTGCCCAGAGTTTATACACCAAACCTCTATCTGAATTTGTACTTGATTTCATGAGCTAGAAAACAAAGAAACAAAATCTAAATGCTTATAAGAGCTGGCAAATACCTTAAATGATTAAGTTGGGCTTGATAAAATACAATAGGGAGAGGTAAGAACTATGGCAAATGGGAGAGAGCATACTCTCCATTATAACCAAATGGAGTAAAATATGTGAGGGTGGGATCGATATTTTTAATTAGCACCCACAGGTGATTGCTGTTAATTAAGCAGGTTAGGAATACATTGCCTAATGCTATAGAATAGTGATTTCAAAATTGGGATGCATGACTAGAACATCCAAGAGGAAGTGAAAAGAAAATATTATTAATTCTATTTCTATACTTTTCATCCAAATGAAGTGTTACTGCTACTAAATATATAGATTGACACTAATACACATATATAATATACTTTTTGGTTTTCTTTTCTGGAGATATGGTCTCAGTTTGCTGCTCGGCATGAGGGCAGTAAAGTGCTCATAGCTCACAGCAACCTCAAACTCTTGGGCTCAAGTGATACTCCTGCCTCAGCCTCTAGAGTAGCTGGGACTATAGGCGTTCACCACCACGTCGGGCTAATTTTTCTATTTTTTGTATGTTGCTAAGGCTGGTCTGGAACTCCTGACCTCAAGAGATCCTCCTGCCTCAGCCTCCCAAAGTACTAGGATTATAAGCATGAGCCACTGTACCTGGCCTATAGTTTACTTTCAAAATTTACACATATATTCAGGGTAGATGATCACTAAAGGGCAGCTATTCCTCCATGTCAGGGAGGTGGTGGGGAGGAGGAGGAATACCAGGCCACCTTGACCAGGTGTACCTTTCTAGAAACACCCTATCATCAAAGGAAAGATTACCAGCCTCAAAAGCTTTTGCTAGATTAGGAATCCCAATGAAGCCCTAGGTTTTTTTTTTGTTTGTTTGTTTTCATAAAGTTAAAAGCAAAGATAAACCAGAGAGCTCTTTGCATTTGAGCTTCTGATAATAAAAACATTTAAAAAAAATGCCACAGAGGCCAGAGCACAGATACATCCTGCCTGGAATTCTCTCTTTGAGGGAAGGAGGCAGGGACACTGTAATCTCTTCTAAGAGGAGGACAAATATCAGACAGCCTGGGTTTGAATCTGGGCTCAACTACTTACTGGCTCTGTGACTTTCCGAGAGTTGTTTAAGCTTCCGAAGCTTAACTGAAAAATTAATTTATGCCAACAGTAAAACAAAACAAAACTCATACATAGGACAGAGAGGAAATTGACCTCCAGAGGAAATCACCATTACATGTTTTCTTGTGTCTCTCCCAGAACTCATCTATATATGACATGTATTACTTTGGAAATTTTCAAGATAAAATTTTTTAAATGTCTGATTGTTATTTTTTTTAATGACATCTAATGTCACCAGCAAATACCAGTAATGGTGATGATATATGTATTATACTTTATCTTGTAAATAAATTGTATTTGATGCCAGCTGCGGTGGGCCGAGCTTTGTAATCCCAGTACTTTGGGAAGCTGAGAGGGGACAACTGCTTAAGTCCAGAAGTTCCAGACCAGCCTGAGCAAGAGCGAGACTTCAGTCTCTACAAAAAAATTACAAAAACTTAGCTTGGTACAGCTAAGTTTTGAGACTGTAGTCCCAGCTACTGAGGAGGCTGAGTCAGGAGGATGGCTTGAGCCCAGGCGTTTGAGGTTGCTGTGAGCTAGGCTGACGCCACGGCACTCTCTCTAGCCTGGGCAACAGAGTAAGACTCTGTCTCAAAAGAAAAAGAAAATGTATTTGCGGCTAAATGTAATTTTCTCATAATCAAAACGCTCTGCATCACAGGGGTTTTGTGAAGTGAAAAGACTAGAGGGACCAGTATGTTGCCTGGTTATTTAAAAAGTGCTCAAGATCTTTGGTGTCCCAGTCTTGGTAACCATCTTGAATTACCCTTACAGCTGGTTTTACAACTTCCTGACTTTAACAAACCTTCGCTATTTCAAAACTGAAAGTAGAGGCTCCATGCATCTTGGAAAGAACCAGGCAAAGCTCCAAAGAGGAAGCCCTCTGTGAAGACAAGACAGCAGGCCCGCGGCCACCCAGCTGGCTCTGGAGAATCCCCACGGAAAGGTGAGGAGGCGTGTTTCTGCAAAAACGCACAGATAACAGCCCCAAAGCCTACGCTTCCGCATAATGCCCTGATCAGGCTGGATTTCAATCCCGACTGCTGCCATTTAGCTCCTGTGTGATTAAGTTTCTTAAAATCTCGGTGCCTCGGTTTCTTTATCTGTGAGATGCGGACGATAACTACTATTTACATCCTAGGCGCAATTTCAAAATTAAGTGACATACAGCGCGTAAAGTGCTTTGGCACATAGTGAACTGTCAAAAAAATCGGTAGCTCTTGTGCTTATTAAAGAGATATGCAACGGGAACAAGTGAGTTTCTGCTTCGAAAGCGCTTTGTAACACCGCAAAGCATTCTATAAATGCCGCGCGCCGTTTCCCGCCACGGTTCGGCCCCACGCAGATGGCAGGTGCCGAGGGGCGGGCGCACTGGGCGGGCACCCGCGCGGAGCCCGCGCCCTCGGTCCGAGGGAAGCAGAGCTGCCGCGGACAGGCGCACGCGAGCGGCGCCTCCCCAAACCCCTGCCACCGGTCTCCTCTCGCCCTAGCCTTCACCTCCGCGCCGTCCGGATCCGTCTACCCGCCCTCCCCTCCAGCTGCGCTCGGAAGCCAGAGCCCCAGCCAAAGAGCGGAAGGGAAACCCTCCCCCACCTCGGCCGCCCCGACGCTTATCAGCACCCAAAACTCTGCCCTGACTCGCGCTGCCCCGCAGGCCAGAGGTCCCCCCGACCCCGCTCCTGGCGGAAAGAAGCAAGGAGCTTGCGTCCGGGCTCGCACCCCTCCCCACTCCGCGGCCACCCCACCGCTTCCCCGGGGTTGGAGCCCTGGGTTAGTTCCCGGCCGAGGAGGAGAACTTGGAGGAGGAGGTCACAGAGTTAGAGACACCGAGAGGACCAACGAGGGGCTGGCGGAGGAAGGGAGGATGGGGGGACTCACGCTCGACAGCGTCCAGGGCAGGCAGAGAAAGCAGCGCCAGCAGGGCGAAGGCTACCACGGAGCGAGACATCGCGACCAGCACACCGTCCGCAGCCGCCCAAATGCCCGCCCGGTCCGGTGCGCCCACTTTTATTTCGCTCCCGCGCCGCCAATCAGGACCCGACGGGCAGGGACCGTCACCCGTCTCCTAGTGCGCGACGCCGAGCAAGGTTGGAGAGAGGGACTTTCCCGTTTTGTTTTCAGTTTCCTTTTCTTGTAAGTCCCGTGATGCTCAGCAAGGCGTGGGTTGGACTGCGTGGATTTGCTGTCCGTGAATGCGCGCTCTCCGATCTGGGGTGCGCGGCCGAGCCTGGGGCTCCTGGTGTTCGTCCTGGGACTTAAGGCTTGAAGCGCCTTCATCCACAGCCCTGGCTTTGCACATTGGCCCCAGAGTCGCTGAGTGACTGGGCTAACGGTGCCCCAGCCTGGCCTGCGGTTTGCATTCGAGAAAACGGAAGCCCAGAAAGATTAAGAGTGTGGAACGGTCCCTGGCAGAACTAGAACTTCGGTTTTTAAGTACAACCCGGGAATACACTGCATGGTTTCCCGATTGTCTGGGCAAGAAAACTAGTCCCAGGAGCCGCGAGGCCTCCCGAGCACAGCTCAGAGAACCGTCCAGAGCGAACTAGAACCTTTCTTCTTGACTTCCTTCAGGGGAAAATTTCTTTTTGGAAAGTTCTGTGCCAAGAAGTTCCTCCCTGTATCCTCGTTTTTGTTTAGGTGATTTGCTTTGTTCTGTTGATCTGTGGGAGAAAGAAAAGGACCACTAATAGTAAAAGCAGCAACTGTTTGCTCAGAGCTTTAAAAGCTCCCACAACCCTTCAGGTCCATAATTCCCTCAGAGTTACCACCCTAGAACAGCGCCTGGCGCATCGTAGGTACTCCGCCGCTGAATGGATGAGTGGATACAGGAATAAACTCTACGAGGTGAGCGTTACGCCGTTCATTTTATGGATAGGGAAAACAGAAGCTGAGAGAGTAGGATTGAGACACTGGCCTGATTGCATTGGTCATTCCTGCTTTAGACACCAGAAGGCAAAGGGCTCCATAATTTCGGGGAGAGTTTGGATTGCATCAGACGTGGGCCCAGCCAAGAAAGTTAAACCCACTGACTCTAAGAGCGTGACAATGACAGGCAGACTCACTAAGAAAACCTACACCCTAAAGACATCATAAATAAGGTGCTGCCATTTCGTGGCCGCCAAATCCACGGATCTCTCCTGAGTGGAACGGTGAGAAGAGGAAGTGGACCATGGGGAGGCGGAGGGGCAGAGATCTTGGAAATCCCCAGGGTTTTCCGTTGAAAGGAGTTGCATTGTGCATCCCCAAGGAGCACAACAAATACTTCATGGGTTTCTTTTACATATGTTTTTACTTTTAATAATCCCTATTGTAGAGGCCTTGTCTAAACTAGAGAAAATAGAGTATTTTCCATAGACTTAATGAAATGAGGTAATGCGCAGAGAAAGCCTCGTACAGTGCCTAGCAAAAGTGTTCTATAATGTTTAATAAATACTATAATTATTAATGTTACTTAGCTAGTTTTCCTACCAGCCTTTTCTATAACTCTGAAATATAAGAATAATTGTTATTCATAAAGTTATGAGTTGGCACTCCTGTCTCTGCCCCAACTCATGGCTTTTAAAAGATCATTTAAGGTTTGAAGTGTCTGTATTGAATTGTACTAGAAAATGTTAATATTGAGTTGAACTAGAAGAATGCCTTAGGATTATAGGAAGAGATGGGGCTATTTTTTGCCTCTTGTTCCTTGTTTACTACATCAAAGAAAAATACTAAATTTAAAACTCATTAAAGGCCGGGTGAGGTGGCTCACACCTGTAATCCTAGAACTCTGGGAGGCTGAGGCGCGTGGAGCATAAGAGAGACCCTGTCTCTATTAAAAACAAAACAAAAAACTCATTAAAGATTGGTTCTGACTCATTCACTTAGAAAACCAATCTAAAAACCAATAAAACACAGTGAAAACACAGAAAAGTCTATTTTTAGTTTTCTTTTTGTTTTGAGACAGGGTCTAGCCCTTTTGCCAGGGCTAGAGAGCAGTAGCATCATCATAGTTCACTGCAACTCCTGGGCATAAGGGATCCTCTTGCCTCTGCCTCCGGAGTAGCTGGGACTACAGGTGTGTGCTACCACACCACTAATTTTTCTATTTTTTGTAGAGATGAGGTCTCACTACATTTCTCAGGCTAGTCTCAAACTCCGGAACTAAAGTGATTCTCCTGCCTCTAGCCTCCTAAAGTACTGGGATTACAGGTGTGAGCCACAGGCCTGGCCTAATTTTCAGTTTTCTGTGTGTGGGGAATTACTGGATTATTTTTCTTGGATTTACCACCGAGGACATGTTTTGAATAGTGAGAGTGAAAATGAAATATAAAACTATTCTTTAAAAAAACAAGAATACTCTTTCCAGAAGAGGGCAAATTTTGGAAATTTAAAAACATGACAATTTAATAGTGTGAGAGCCCAATAGTGCAATTAACAGATGTAGGGTTTTTGTGTGTGTGTGTGTGTTTTTCTTTGTTTTTTGTTTTTTTGCCTATATGAATTTCTCTAACTTTTTTTTTTTTTTTTTTTTTACAATGAACATGTGTTCAAAACTGTAAATGTTGGCAAGAATTTGGAAGAACTGAAACTCTCATATAGTTCTGGTGGGAATATAAAACAGTATAAACAATTTGGAAAATAGTTTGACAGTTTTTTTAAAAAGTTAAACATAACACTGGCCATAAGAATCAGCCGCTCTGGCAGGGCCTGATAGCTCACATCAGTAATCCTAGCACTCTGGGAGGCCGAGGCGGGTGGATTGCTCAAGGTCAGGAGTTTGAAACTAGCTTGAGTAAAAGCAAGACCCCCAGAAAGAAATTAATTGGCCGACTAATATTATGTAGAAAAAATTAGCTGGGCATGGAGGCCCATGCCTGTAGTCCCAGCTACTCGGGAGGCTGAGGCAGAAGGATTGCTTGAGCCCAGGAGTTTGAGGTTGCTGTGAGCTAGGCCGACGCCACGGCACTCTAGTCCAGGCAACAGAGTGTGACTCTGTCTCAAATAAAAAAGAGCCGCTATGCTGAAGGTATTTGCCCAAGAGAAAAATGAAAGTGTATGTCTACATAAAGACTTATACACAAATGTTCACAGCAGCTTTATTTGTAATGGTGGAAAACTAGAAACCATCCAAACATCTGTCAACAGGTGAATATATAAAAACATAGTATATATCCATGCAATGGAATACTATCAGCAACAAACAAGGAATAAACTACTGATACATACAACATGGATGAAACAATTATGCTGAATGTAAGAAGCCAGGCAAGATAGAGTATATACTGTATGATTCTGTTTATAGAAAACTCTAGAAAAGGCAGACTAGTCTATAGTGACAGAAAGCAGATGAGTGATTTACAGGGAGTAAGAGGATCATGGAAGCATGAGGAAAATGGGGTGATGGATATGTTCATTATCTTGAGATTGAGGATCATTTCACAGGTGTGTACATATTTTAGAACTTACTGTATACTCTAAGTGTAATTTATTGTATGACAATTATAACTATTTAAAAGGACAAAGCTGGGTGCCATGGCCTGTACCTATCGTCCCAGCTACTCGAGAGGATCGCTTGAGTGTAAGATTTCAAATCCAGCCTGAGCAATATAGCAAGACCTTCATCTCTAAAAAACAAAACAAAAAACCCTCTACAAACAGATATAAAAAAGGACAAACCCTAAGGACAAAGCACAAAGGACAAAGCACAGATAACCTGTATTGTCAGGCAAAAAAAAGAATGAAGTGCTTGACCAGAAAAAAAAGAAGGATATTGATGTGGGGAGAAAAATGGGAATAGGTTAAAGTTCAAATGAGTTGGGTTGCACCTGAGTGGATCTGAGTAGAGCAGTTTTCTGAGATGGGTTCATCCAAACAGCTGGAAGAGCCAGGCCAATTAGGGAGGAGAGATACAAGCATTGATAGGCCATTTGTGCTGGACTCTTTCAGATGTTATGTCATTAATCCCTTGCTGTTCAAAGTGTGATCCATGCATCACCAGTATCAACAACATGTAGAAGCTGTTAGAAATGCAGAGTCTTGGCCAGGCACAATGGCTCACACCTGTAACCTCAGCACTTTAGGAGGCTGAGATGGGAGGATCCTCTGAAGCCACGAATTCGAGCCAAACTAGGTAACATAGTGAAACCCCATCTCTACAAAAAAATTTAAAAATTAGCTGGGCATGGTGACATGCATCTGTAGTTCTAGCAACTGGGACGGCTGAGGCAGGAGGATTGCTTGAGCCCAGGAGTTGGAGGCTGCAGTGAGCTATGGTCTCTCCACTGCACTCCAGTATGGGTGACAGAGCAAGATCTTGTTTCAAATAAAAAAAAGAAATGCAGAATCTTGGGCCCATCCCAGACCTACTAAATCATACCCTGCCTTTTAACAACATCCCAGGTGATTAGGATACATATTAAAGTTTGTGAATCCAAGTGATTTATAAGCATATTAAAGTGTGTGAAGCTGCTGATCCAAACTACATAACAACCTAGTTGAGTGTTATTTTCATTTACAGATAAGGAGTCTGTGACTCAGAGAAGTAAGGTATTTCCCACATTTGCAATGAGTTGGGATGTAAACACTGGTCCACCTAATTGTAAAGGCCTCATTCTTTCCACTAGAAATCACTGTGGGCACTTTTTTCCCTTCATTTGCTATGTTGCTCATGCTGGACTCCAACTCTTGAGCTCAAGGGATTCTCCCACCTCAGCCTCTGGAGTAGCTAGGACACTGGTTCACTTTGGGCACTTTCTGAGAAGGGGTTCATACAAAGGTGTAATTGGGAGGTATGGAGACCAGGGCACGCATAGAGGCATATGAGAAGGTGAAGGGAAGTAGATCGAGGGAACCAGCACCAAGATGTGAGGTATTTTTTTTAACTGACATTTTTTTCTGTCTACAAAAGTATATGTGCACATGATAGAAAACTGGAACATACCAAAAGCTATAAAGAAGAAAATTAAAAAACCACCAGTAATCCTGCAACGCAGAGATAACCATTGTTAAAAGGTACAATTTAAGGAGTTTGAAGATTGTTGCCTTCTCAAAAGTACCTGCCGGTTAGATCTGTTCCAGGACTGGAAATCCTCTGTCTTTTGTGTTAATTCTATTAAATTCAGCAAATGTTGGTTGAGTGCACACTTTGTGGCAAATGTTAGCACTGTAAGGATTCCAGAGGGAAGAAGACGCCAGACCCTGCCCACCAGGAGATTCCAATCTGGAGTTAAAATCAAGCCAATAATTAACACATGAGCTCCTGCCTAAGGCGTTTGTGCTGATTGTTCAGATTTGAGAGCTGTTCCATAAAGGGCAATAGGTCCCCCCAAAATAGAACACAAACAGGAAGTTTTTTAAATTGCCAGTTACTAAGTACGTTGGAGAAAAAAGAAAAAAAAAAAACTTCACAAGATCCACATGAGGTAAATCCTGTTATTCTTATTTGGGGCAGAGTAAATGGGAGACAAAAGTTGAGAAAGTTGAAGTATCTGGTTGGCAATGAATCTGCCTGCCTCACAGCTTGTGTGTAACCACCGTACTCCATCAACTGCCAATTTTTTCAATTGGGAAAATCATACAAACTTGATGTAAAAAAAAAAAATCAAGCACTACAGAAGCATAAAATGCCAATTTCTTCCATATCCTCTCTTAGTAATAACCACAATTTTAAAGTATTTTTCATCTTTAATTATAAGCCCAATAAATGAATGTATGACTCAGTAGTGAAGGAGTAATAAAAAAAAAAATGAATGTATGACCATTGTAAAAATATAAACAATAGAGGTCTATGAAGTAAAAGTGAAAGTTGCCCTCATCTGTCTTCTTCCATCTTACTCTCCTGCCCTCAGAAACTGTTGTTAAGGTTTGGGACATATCCATCCATGGATATATATTGATATATATAGTTTGGAAGGGGAGTTTTAAAATTGTATGCTGCCAAGACTATTATAGTTTGTTTAGAACACAACGCCCACTGAAAGCATTAAAGGGATCAGAAGTAACTATCAGTTGTCAAGTTGGGTGGAGAAATGGATGAGGTAAATGTTGAAATGAAGCCCTTTTAACTGTGTAGGGGCAACAGGGCAGCCCCAGATGCCAACAATTGGGCATGGTCCCTGGGGAAAATGGTATCCAGTTACTAACTTGCTGGCACAGCCTCCTTTAATGGGTTTCCGCCTTGTCGGTATAATACTTGGGTCTTCATCTCAGTTCCTACTTAAAACTGCAGAATTCTAACTTGGATATATTCTATCTTGCCTTGGATTCCACGTAGCACTATTAAAAATCAAAACTCTCCTCCAAATACTTGTTTTCCCTTTCGGCAAATTCCCCTGAGTCATGCTTCCCACTTTCCATCTTGCTGCGCTGGCTCTCACCTCTGGTCAGCTGGTGTATGTCCTTTCTTGCTGCCTCCTGGTACTGTTCCAGTTGCATCGAGTCAGGTGCTCTCTACTCTCTGGTCTTTTGGACCTTTCTAAACTCTTCCTAAAAGAAGAGAGGAGATTTTTCAGGGATTATTGGGCAAGACCACTGTAATCACATGGGTCCTTTTTTTTTTTTTTGAGACAGAGTCTCACTTTGTTGCCCAGGCTAGAGTGAGTTCCGTGGCATCAGCCTAGCTCACAGCAACTCTTGGGCTCAAGCAATCCTGCTGCCTCAGCCTCCTGAGTAGCTGGAACTATAGGCATGCACCACCATGCCCAGCTAATTTTTTTTTCTATATATATTAGTTGGCCAATTAATTTCTTTCTATTTATAGTAGAGACGGGGTCTCGCTCTTGCTCACGCTGGTTTGCTGGTTTCGAACTCCTGACCTTGAGCGATCCACCCGCCTGGGCCTCCCAGAGTGCTAGGATTACAGGTGTGAGCCACTGCGCCCAGCCCCACATGGGTCCTTAAAAGCAAAGGATGTGTCCTGACTGTGGTCAGAGGGAGATGTGACTATGGAGGAATGGTTGGAGAGATGCAACATGCTGGCTTGGAAGATGAAGGAACAGGTTGTGAATCAAAGAATGCCAGTAACCTTTAGAAGCTGGAAGAGGCAAAAACATGGATTCTCCCCTAGAGCCTCCAGAAAGTAATGTCACTTTGCTGATGCCTTGAGTTTAGCTCCGTGAGGCTTGTGTTGGACTTCTGACTTACAGAACTATAACATAATAAATTGTGTTAAGCTACCAAGCTTATGGAAATTTGTTACAGCAGCAATAGAAAACCATTTCATCCCCCTTTCTCACAATCAGGCACATTTGGGCCTTGGTTGCCAAAAGCTGAGGTCAGTATAAATATTTGCCTTTTCAAAGTCAAGTTTACACTTTGGTTAACTAGACTCTGGCCACAGAGAGCATTTTGGGTGCACTCATGTTGAAGGCAGGGTATCATCAGCTCCACAGCTGAGGGGTAGGAGTTTTGCTGAAGCCTGGACTGGTCAGGAGCCCACTGCCATTTCTGGGCCATTTCTCAGATGCCACACTCCAAATGGGCCAGACCACTCCTGTTCTACCTGGTGTTGCCAGTGGTAAAAAGGGAATGAGAATAACAAGAGGGGTCTCTATGCCCCAAGACAAAGATATCCCAAAGCTTTGGCTTCCTTCTGTTACTGATTTCAGCACTTGTCCCCAAGGCTGCATCAGAAGAATGAGGACAAATGGTTTGAGGAGAAAGAAAGAGAAATGTATTAATTTGCTGGCAAATGAGGAGGTTGGTAGACTCCTGTCTTAAAGTACCAATGTCCTGCCTCTGAGCAGAAACACAGAGCTTTTAAAGGGGAACTTTTCAGCTGCAGGCTGTTGCTGTCCAATTATAGTTGATGGTTCTGATTCACCGCACCTTAGCTAACAGTAAGGCAATTTCATGACCTCCACCCAGAACATTCCCTTGAGCCATCCCCTGTGGCACAAAGAACACTCCCCTGCCTCTATTGACCCTTGGCCTGAGGCAGGGATGCAGGTTTGAGTTCTCAAAAAGGTTGAGGAGGTTTTGAAGAAACAGAAAACATTTTTATCCCTTTTCAAGCCATTCTTTCTGGTATACCAGTGGCTCCTCAGCACTGGGCTTGCACTGGGGAAATTTCCCCCTCTGAGGAGCTCATATACTCTGGTTTATAGGCCAGGAACAGTGGCTCACACCTGTAATCCCAGCACTTTGGGAGGCCAAGGTGAGAGGATTGCTTGAGGTCCAGAGTTTGAGGTTGCATTGAGCTACAATCATATCACTGCACTCCAGCCTGGATGACAGAGCAAGACTCTGTCTCAAAAAAAAAAAAAAAAAAAATAGATTATGATACCAGGAAACTGACTCTACTTGGAAGCATTAAGGATGAGCCTGTGGAGGACCTTGATGCCAAGGAAAAGAACATGAACTTTACACTTCAGACTGTGATGCAGGTGCCAACACAGGTGGATCTTTTCTTTTCCTTGTTTATCGTTTGGGCATTTTTTTGTTTGATATTTTAAAAAGCTTTTCCACCTACCTTTATTTTTTTCTAACTATAAAATTCATGGCTGTTTTGAAAAGTTCAGAAAATATAGGTAAGAATAAAGATAAACATTTAAATCACCTGTTATTCCTCCAACCAAAGATAGCCACTACGAAAGCAATTATGTTTTTTCTCAGACTTTGTCTATTGATATATAGATATATGTTTACAAAGATGTAACCATTCTGCATATATTTCTCTGCAAACTGCTTTTTTATTTAACCATATGTCATGGACAATATATCTATTTCTATAATAATAGAGATCTATATTGTTTTTTCATTGTTTCATAGTATTTTTTTTTTTTTGAGACAGAGTCTTACTCTGTTGCCTAGGCTAGAGTGCCATGGCATCAGTCTAGCTCACAGCAACCTCAAACTCCTGGGCTCAAGCAATCCTTCTGCCTCAGCCTCCCGAGTAGCTGGGACTACAGGCATGTGCCACCATGCCCAGCTAATTTTTCTATATATTTTAGTTGGCCAATTAATTTCTTTCTATTTTTAGTAGAGACCGGGTCTCACTCTTGCTCAGGCTGGTTTCAAACTCCTGATCTTGAGCGATCCTCCCACCTCGGCCTCCCAGAGAGCTAGGATTACAGGTGTGAGCCACCACACCCGGCCCATAGTATTTCATTATATGAATATACCATATATATATTTTTAACCCAATCCTGTACAGGGGATGTTTCTGGTTTTTCTCCATTACAACTCATCCTATACTATTAAACTACCCTCCAGAGTCTTTGTTACTCACCTACTATAAAGTAAGTGAGGTATTCATCTCCCCACACCCTTCCCTAAGCTAGCTATTATCAGTGAAAAATTGTATCTTCTTGTTTAACTTATTTATTTGTTTGTTTGAGACATTACCTAGGCTGGCCTTGAACTCCTGGGCTCAAGGGATGCTTTTGCCTCAGCCTCCTGAGTAGCTGGGACTACAGGCCTGCACCACCACACCCAGTTCATTTGTTCTGTTTTTAGTAGGATGGGGTCTTGCTCTTGCTCAGGTTGGTCTCCAACTCCTGACCTCAAGCAATCCTCCCACCTCAGCCTCTCAGAGTACTAGGATTACAGGCTTGAGCCACTACACCTGGCTTGCTTTGTGTTTTTATTTTATTTTATTTTTTTGAGACAGAGTCTCACTTTGTTGCCTAGGCTAGAGTGCCGTGGTGTCAGCCTAGCTCACAGCAACCTCAAACTCCTGGGCTCAAGCAATCCTACTGCCTCAGCCTCCTGAGTAGCTGGGACTACAGGCATGCGCCACCATGCCTGGCTAATTTTTTCTATATATATTAGTTGGCCAATTAATTTCTTTCTATTTATAGTAGAGACAGGGTCTTGCTCTTGCTCAGGCTGGTTTCAAACTCCTAACCTCAAGCAATCCGCCAGCCTCGGCCTCCCAGAGTGCTAGGATTATAGGCGTGAGCCACCGCACCCGGCCTGCTTTGTGTTTGTAAAAGGCCGTTCGATTGAACAGTTTTTCACATGTTTACTAATTATTTATGTGTTTCTTCTTCTGTCAATTCCTTATTTATGGTTCTATCAGCCAAAGTCCTTTGTCACTGGGAATAGACACTGCCTAATGTAACAGAAAATACTTAAAGAATATTTGTTAACCATTAGAATCAACTGCTAGGTGAAGAATACACAGAGGTTGATTTTATTATTCTTCACCTGTTCTGCAGGGCTCTGAGGACAATTGCCATTGCCACCTGGGGATTCTCTGCCAACCTGGGTGAGTCTACCTCTTCCAGCCTGAGGTCACCCAGCAGAATGGGCGACAAGAATGGGCACTGCCGCTCCTGCCCCCTTCACCCTCCTGGACAGAGACTTCTACCAGCCCAGATCCCTGATGGCCTCGCTGGAAATCAATTGGCAAAGTTTTAAGTAGAGCAAGATAGGACATGGATTTCCATCTTGCCTCTCCGGAAAGTAAAACTTTGGTTTTTAGACAGAGAAAATCAGATTGAGTAAAATGATGGAGATGGAAGCTGGTGGCTACACTTTCTGCTTTGACAATGCGTTCAGTGCTACTTTAGAAAGGTAACTTTCTTTGGATTAATCCTGGATAAGTTGGGAGAACAGGAGCAAGAACAGAAAAGACTATATTACAGGTACAGATGTGCTGGATATGAAACTGAAAAGCATCCTGAAATTTATAATCAGCATCAAATCCCTGTTAAGCAAATGCAGTCATATCCAAACTCTACTTAGAGCATTTGAAGCTCATGATCAAAATATTCAAGGAAGCAACTTTTAGAGTCGATTTCTGATCCATGAGTAATTTTGTGGTCATAGTGATGGTGTTTGTCATTCAAGTTTTTTATGATAAACTATCTGTTTGAGGTAGAAAAGTAGAACTTAAAAGTCCAAACTAATACAACATCAAAAAAGAAGCTGAAAATTATAATAAATTATCAGTCATTAATAGTCTCTTCCAAGTTTTTTTCAGGCATTTGCCTTAAGTTTGAAACAAGTATGATTTAAATGTGCAAGGAAAGTCTTTACTTTTGTCTGTGCAAGTAATCTTATTCAATTGTACTTAAATGTGCAACAGAAACATTTTGCAGAGTTTAGGTATAATTAAATGAAGCCATATAACTAACTACATTTTCCTAAGTTTCAAAAAATTTTCCAAATATCATAAGTGATTTAAATAAACAAATGCTGAGCCTAAATGCAATACCAAACAATCTGTTTTTATTTATTTATTTTTGAGACAGAGTCTCACTTTGTTACTCAGGCTAGAGTGAGTGCCATGGCTTCAGCCTAGCTCACAGCAACCTCAAACTCCTGGGCTCAAGCGATCCTCCTTTCTCAGCTTCCTGAGTAGCTGGGACTACAGGCATGCACCACCATGCCTGGCTAATTTTTTGTATATATGTTTTTAGTTGGTCAATTAGTTTCTTTCTATTTTTAGTAGAGATGGGTCTCACTCAGGCTGGTTTCAAACTCCTGACCTTGAGCAATCCACCCGCCTTGGCCTCCCAGAGTACTAGGATTACAGGCGAGCCCACTGCACCCCGCCAAAAACAATCTGTTTTTAAAAGTTTCTCTTACATAGAAGTTTCTTTGTAAATGTGGCAATTACGGATTAATCACAGAAAGTTTTAATATGTTAAATTCTAAATCATCTAAGAATTACCTGATCATAGATTGAATATAGGTTTGGATGACCAAGTCTTAACTTTTCTGTCCATATATACATGCACCTTCCTATAATGTAAATAGAAGCATAGGTTTGAGAAACAATAACATTTTTGAGTTTTTTCTAACCGAATATTATATTTCAATATAAAATATCAGTCAAAAATAGTAGTTTTATATACTTAGCCTATATTCCCCTGAGCTCACACTTTTATAATTAATTAAGAACACAAAATCATACTTTTCTTATTGAGACAATTTTTCTTTTAGAAGAAGGAAAGAACATGGTCAAAGATTTCTCAGTCTCCATAAGAACACACACATTTTGTGTTAACACAGACATTCATGCTTAACTAAAGTATAGGATTTTTAAAGTAAATGTCAGAGAAAGTAGCAATCTTATTTTTATAACATCTGTCTACAGTGTTATGTTAATTTTGACATGGTTACTGATTGGATAATAGGTGATTAGTAGCAGTTGTGAAGGAAATATTGCTAAAAGGATCTGGGCTTAATGTAAATATGTCCTTTTCTGAGCTCTCAAAACCTTCAGAAACAATAAAAAAAATTTTACTTTAAAGGTTTTTTGAATGACCTTGAAGATAAACTTAAGATTACCAGATAAAAATAAAGTTCTTTGACTTTATGGTTTTTTATTTTGCCATTCAGAAGTCTTAAATTTTCCTGTAGACAAATTTATCAGTTACCCTTCTTGGCTTATGGATTTCAGGTTACAGTTAGAAGAGCCTTCTCCATTCCACAGTAAAAAAAAATTCACACATATTCTCGAGTATTTTTCAGACTTTTTTAAAAAATGTTTAAATCTTTTTCCATTTAGCATTTACTTTGGCATAAATATTTCTTCAGTATAGAAGTTTTATTTTATTTTATTTTATTTATTTATTTTTTTTTTGAGACAGAGTCTCGCTTTGTTGCCCAGGCTAGAGTGAGTGCCGTGGCGTCAGCCTAGCTCACAGCAACCTCAAACTCCTGGGCTCGAGTGATCCTTCTGCCTCAGCCTCCCGGGTAGCTGGGACTACAGGCATGCGCCACCATGCCCGGCTAATTTTTTTTTTTTTATATATATATCAGTTGGCCAATTAATTTCTTTCTATTTATAGTAGAGACGGGGTCTCACTCTTGCTCAGGCTGGTTTTGAACTCCTGACCTTGAGCAATCCGCCCGCCTCGGCCTCCCAAGAGCTAGGATTACAGGCGTGAGCCACAGCGCCCGGCCAGAAGTTTTATTTTTTTAAGTCAATTCTATATATCTTTTCTTTAATGATTCCTGGCTTAGGTATCATGAAGTTTGTTTTCTTAGAATGACATTTCTTGGGAGCAATGTGAAGAGTGGGCTGGGGTAGGACACACTGGGTGGCTGGCAAGAAACCCCATCTGAAGAAGTCTCTAAGGGGGGGGCAATTATTTTTCATTTCAGTTCAGCTCTATCAACATGTACTGAGAACTTACTCTGTCCGGAAACTGAGTTAAGTGCTGGGGGCACAAAGATGAAGAAAATCATCTCTGTTCTCAAGTTGGGATGACAAATATGGAAGCAGAATTACAACTCAGGGTGGTAGGAGCAATGAGCCAAAGGTGTAAGTATCAATGAGCACACGTAAGACGGGCACCCAAGGCAGCCTTCAGGAGAGGAGGGTGTCTGAGAAGGATTCCTAGAGGAAGTGAAGCCTGGGCTGAATTTGTTTTTCTCATTTGAATAATTGGAGTATTAGAATAAAACAATTCAATAAAGCATCTGAAATCACCTTCTGCTCTGCGGAAAACTCTGAAACCATGTTTTCTCTCTAAATCCCACACTACAACAATCATCAACACAGAAGACTTCTATGACCACATGTGGGGGTTTTCCCACACACACCAAGTAGCAGAGCATCCTCTAATTCAATTCTGACACTATCTACCCAGAGATAGCATCAGGTCCCACAGGGTGAGGACTCAGTCCCCAGGAGTGACCCCTCCTTCCCACCAATCACAAGTCTGGGCCTCTGGAACTTCTGATGGAATAACTTCAAATTGGGGTTCCCACAACCCCCTCTTTGGGTTTGATTAATTTGCTAGTGGCTCACAGAACTCAGGGAAACATTTGTGTTTACTGGTTTACTACAAAGGATATGATAAAGGATACAAATAAACAGCCGGATAAAGAAATACACAGGGCAAGGTCTGGAAGGTTCCCCAGCACAGGAACTTCTGTCCCCATGGAGTTTGGGTGTGCCACCCTCCCAGTACATGAATGAGTTCTTGCTCACGTTTCTGTCTGCCTCCACATATTCAGCTATCTGGAAGCTCTCCAAACCTAGTCCTCTTGGGTTTTTATGGAGGCTTCATTACGTAAATGACAACTGTATAGAAATGTGATTGGGCAAAAAGTGCATGATCTAAACCCAGCAAGGCCTGTGTGTTCAGATTCTCCCTGACCTCCCTGTGCAGCTTTTTCTTCCAGACAAGGTGTGGGGCAGGACCCTGTGTGGAATGAGGATCTCTTCACCCACAATCAAATTAGAGTCCTGCTTGGGCAAATGAAGGAGGACAAGAGAAGGTCAGAGAGAGAAATTTTATCTTCTGAGGCCTGCTCCTGAGGCCTAAAGCACCCCAACATTACAACAAGAACTGTGAAAGTTATAAGCCAGGAACCATGGACAAAAACATATACATATATATAATCTCATAACACCACACCTTCCAATGAAAATAACTGTTATTTCATAACTTCATTTTGCTTGTGTGACATAATACTGCCAACATCATTGAAAAATAAAGAACGGGGGCAGGAAGCTGCCTTAATCAACAACTGAATATAACTTCAGACCAAGGGTGAGAGGTTCCCAGGATAGGGACATCCTGGTGCAGAGCGATTATGAGAGAGGGCCCCAGTGGAACCCCAATCTCCCCCCATGGCTAAAAGCAGTTCACCATTTCTGAAATCCAAACTAGAAGGCAGGGAACTTTAAGACAGGAGGCTGGAGTGGCATTCAGGGCCAGATCTTAAAGGGCCTTTATATAAAGAACAAGAAATGAGAATCACTGAGGTATTTAGATTGGAAGCTGTCCATCTGACAAGAGGACTTGGGAGTCATCAGCATCCAGTTGGCAGGAAAATGTAAGTGGATGAGATTGCCCGGGGATATCACATTGCAGAGGACTTAACCTTTTGGGGATCCTTGATCCCTTTGAGAATGTGATGAAAGCTATGAATGGTCTCTCCAGAAAAATGTGCATGTTAAAAATCACACAAAAATATACACAATTTCAGGGGACCCTCAGATTAAGAATCTCTGATATGGAGGGGACAGAGAAGTAGCTTGAGGAAGAGGATATTCAAGGGGATGGCAAGAGGATGAGGGGAGCATCAAAGGGGCCAAACAAAGATGACTTGAGGTTCAAGAAGAATCAGGAGACTGAAGTGTGAGGAAGCTGTGGGAGTACAGAGATCCAAGGAGGGCATGATCAGTGGTGTCAAGTGCTGTAGAGACTTCTGGAAAGGTCAGGACTGAACTGTATCTTTTGCACTTATAGTTAAGAAATCAGTGGTAATGGTATTGAGGAGAGTTTCTGAGGAGTGATGAGTAATGGTAGCTTCAGTTTTTTTTAATGCAAGAAGTATTTAAGGGCGGGATGTAGGTAGAAGTGAGGGTAGGGGACTTGGGTTTATGCTTTGTTTGCAGAGCATTAACATGAGGTTGAAAAATTGTCAATTGTCCAGAGAAAAGACTGAGAAGGCTTATGGAGATTATGTCTGTGTGTTCCTGGTGCCACACCATGGTGGAGTCAAAAGCCAGAAGGCAACAGTTGAAGGAATGATGTGAATTAAGGAAATGAAGTTTGGGTTTTTTGGGTAGGAGAGAGATGAGGGGCAGTTAAAAAAAGAAACAAAAAAATAAAGGGACTTTGTCTTCAAGAAATGGACACATCCCAATATTTCTATGCTATACTATAAGAAGAAGAAAGAAGGAAAAATGAAGAGGCTACAGACACAGAGGGCAGAAGTGGCAGAAGGGCAAGGATCCAGGAAGATAGGCTGGACGTGAAGAGGAGGATGGGCACCCCACTCAGAAGAGCAAAGTGAGGTGGCCTGTGGCTATGTACACATTCCCTCCAAGTATGGATTTAAGTAATCAGCCCAAATGGCTTCTATTTTCTCCATAGCATAAGAGGTGAGGTTGACTGCTGAGGATAAAGAGATGGGATTGGTGTAGAGGACTTGAGGACAATGGTTATGTTTTAGAATCACTGACAGGAGACTGAGGGATGGAGGGGAGAGGAAGCTGAACACAGAGAAAAGAATGGTCCAGCAGGCGAGTGCTGGAGCCAGTGTCAGTCATGGTCCTCACAGCAAACAAATAGCACATTCAAGTGGGGTAAGGAAGGAGAGTTTCCTGAAGGGACTATTTACCAGGTGTGAGAAGGGTTAAAGGAAACTCCTAAAGGACAGTGGAGCACTTTGGGGCTAGCGACAGTGGGGAGCCTCTTCCACCCTGAGGCTTTAGGGGCAAGAGGAGGGAGAAGATCCCATATGCCAAAGGTGTTAGGCTGAACCCAGAGGCTGGTGGGAGGGTCCATGGGGATCTTTCCCTTTAAAATGGCCCCACCCCTTTGAGGGCCTGTCCAAACTCCACCCCTTTGAGAGCCCGCCCAAACCTGACTATAAAAGCCCTGGCCACCCGCCATTTCAGGACGGATGCCATCTTGGACGCAGCTTCTGTGTACTCAGCCGATAAAATAAACTTTCTCTTTCTTCATCTTGGGCTCGTGAATTCCTCCCTCAGTGTTTCTAGCAAGAGGGAACGGATGTAGTTTAGGAGAGGGCTGCCACACTGGAGCTCGTACAACCTACGTTCCCAGCTACTCGGGAGGCTGAGGCAGGAGGATTGCTTGAGCCCAGGAGTTTGTGGTTGTAGTGAGCTATGGTCACTCCACTGCACTCTAGCCTAGGTGACAGTGCGAGACTCTCCCTCAAAAAAAAAAAAAAAAATTCCCATAAAACAGGAACAGTTCTTAGGTGTTTTATGTAGCAAATATAAACATTTTTAATGTATTTTTACCTAATCCAACAATCCTATTTGCCTATCTATGCTTTTTATTCTATGGGAAGCTCTAAAAGGCTAAAGGAACACCTGTTTTATTCATGGCTGTACTCCAAGACTAGAACGGTCTTAGCTTAGTTAAACTTAGCGCAATTAAAATATGGTAAGAAAGCTAGAAAATCTAGGACATAAGTAGACATATGAGGCTTCAGGCAAGTGTACAAAAGTGCTCTAAAGCCACTAGGTCCCAAGCGAAACTTCAAACAGCCAGGGCAGGGCTATGATCTTAAAGACTGAGCCCTCTGCCACCTGCTTTCAATACAGGAAGTGCCTTCAGAATGAAAATCTTCATGCAGCAAATGTTTCTCCTTAACACTTGGTCTTTATGACAGCCTAATGAATCACTTCTGGAACACTGAAATTCACCATTTGGTCCTTTTGTTAATAACGTCAAAGTAAGTTATTAGGAAGTTCTTGAGAGGCACAGCTGTATAACATTACCTGAACCCAATTCAGATGTTTGAAAAGTTTTTCAGTAACTTTCAAGCTACTTAAACCCATATAGTTCTGGCCTACAGCAAAATTTTGAAATAAATATTTTCTTTTAAAGGCATCAAGATTCATTGTGGTTATGATGAAGAAAAGAAAAAAAAAATAAAAAAAAAATAAAAAAAAAATAAAGGCATCAAGAATCATAGTGTTTTAACCATGGCAGTAGGACCCTAACTTGAAATTCTGATGTAGAGAAATTAGCTTAGTTTTTATTTTTATTCAGAAGTTCTACAAAGACACGCGTGTTTCAGCTGAACACAGGATGTGGGCGCAGAACCCAGGGTTGCTTGGGGGTTACATGGGGCTCAGGAGGGTCTTGAGTTTTACCTGCTAGTAGTAGTGATATCTGTTTTTTGTTTTTGTTGATTTATTTTTACTCCTGAGCTTCTGGACCAGTTTTCCATTAGAGCAGCCAAAAAGATATAAGATTATGTATCTCATGCAAAAGTGTTTTTACCTTGATGACCTGACTTCTAAATTCACAGGAGTCCCTCATCAGTTGGAGCTAGGTGGCGGACTTAAACACACGTGACCCAGTGAAGGGGAGCATCACCAGGTGGACTTGAGGCAGCCTCAAGTGTGCTGCCCTGAAGCACCAGGAACTTGGTTGCTAGGCATCCTCTTCAGGGGCCACCCAGGCCTTTCCTATCCAGTTTTCCTAGAGCAAAACCTAGGGATTAAATGAAATGCAACTTCACAACGTTCCTGTGAAAGGTTCCTATACTTCTACCAGGACCCAGTGGATGGAGGATGCTGGTCCTTTAACAAGTGAGCAGGGGAGGAGCTGGGAGTCTTAAAGCCAGAAGCAGCAATCAGGCCCTGGCCCAGGCTGCCATGGCAAACCTAAGCCGAAGGGATGGCAACAGTTGGGCAGTAGGTGTCAGCAATGACATGTCACCAAGTACAGACAGTGGCTGGTCGTGTCTGTGTGGGCAGTCTTCTCTGCTGACTCCTAGCCCTGTCCCTCAATTCTGTCCCCTTGCAGGACAGCTCCCTAGAGCTGGGCTAGGAGGGCGGAGAGCGGAGGGGGAGGGGGGAAAGAAAGGGGAGGGGGGGAAGAAAGGGGAGGGGGGAAAGAAAAGGGAGGGGGACAGGTGGGCATTTATAGTAGTTTGAGAGCCTAGGGTCTTGCTTCCTGAGGCCTTGAGTCAATAATTCTCTGACCACCTTGCCGGGAGGAGACCATGGCTATTTTGGGGTGCCATGCCATCCTTACTAAGGAGGAGGGTATCTCTGGGTCTCTTCCCTGTCCCAGGTTTATCTTCCAGAGGCTGACAAGGCTCTCTCACTGGAAGATGCAGCCAAGGAGGAAGTCCGCCAGCCTGCCAAGATGAAATGCCTTGAAGGTATCACCAAGCGGGCCGTAGTGTCTAGGTATAAAGCCCTGGGATGTGGAGGCTTGCTGGTCTGCTTCACACATGGGCTTGGGTGTCCAGGGTCGCTGGTAGTTACTCAAAATTTCCCACTTACTAGCTATATCATGCTGGGCAACTGAGATCACTTTTTTGAACCTTATTTTCCTCACCTACATAGTAAAATTATCAGTAACAGCTGAGACAGCCTCATACAACTGTTGAATGAACATACACATGTAAAGTGCCTGGCGCTCAGTAGGATTAAATCGCAAGGAGTCGGGGCAGCTGGCACTTGTTCAGTTAAAGTGGCAACGGAAAGGCCTGTTGGGTGGAACAAAGCAGGTGAAAGGGGGATGCAGAAAGTGAAGGTGTCTGGCACCTGCCAGGCTCCATCTGGTTTAGAAGTGGTGGTTGGGGGCATCGTGGGGTAGAGAGACTGAGCTGAACCCAGAGAACGGGAGGCCCCCTGTTCGAAGGTGGTGCTGGAGATGGTTCATGAGCAGAGTGCCTTTGAGCAACAGCCTCTCCAGACGAGACTCCTGTGCCCTGAGCCCCTGTATCACTTCCTCCTCAGGCCCACACTTAAACCAAAGGCTGGGCAAGACCTGCCACCCCCTGGCTCCCAAGGAGGAGCTGGTGTCTGCCTCCCAATTGGAGGAAGAGGAAGAGAATGAAGAGGAGGATCTGGATCCCGACCCAGAGGAGGAGGAGGAAGAGAATGATCTTGGGGATCCAACTATATTTAGCACTGTCCCTAACACCCAGGTACTGTGGCAGGAGGGGATCAGAGAGGGTTTGTCGCCTGAGCTGTCTGCGGCTCACAAGCTGTTGCTGAACATCCCTCTCTTCTCTACCCCTTTCTAAGACAGGTTTTGGATTAACACTTTCCATTTTAGGCTTGAAACTGAATTAGAGACTCTCTCCTTCCCTCTTTCCTACTGTCTCCCTCTTAGTTTCTTTATATATATATATATAATTTTTTTTTTTTTTTTTTTTTTTGAGACAGAGTCTCGCTTTCTTGCCTAGGCTAGAGTGAGTGCCATGGCGTCAGCCTAGCTCACAGCAACCTCAAACTCCTGGGCTTAAGCAATCCTACTGCCTCAGCCTCCCGAGTTGCTGGGACTACAGGCACGAGCCACCATGCCCGGCTAATTTTTTATATCTATATATATTAGTTGGCCAATTAATTTCTTTCTATTTTTATAGTAGAGACGGGGTCTCGCTCAGGCTGGTTTTGAACTCCTGACCTTGAGCAATCCGCCCACCTCGGCCTCCCAGGGTGCTAGGATTATAGGTGTGAGCTACCATGCCCAGCCTCCCTCTTAGTTTTAGATACTGTCCTCACCTTAAAACCAGATCCTAGCAGACCTGTGCGTCACCCATAGGTGGTGGCCCTGCTGCTATTGCTGAAGGTGAGTCATATTTGCCTGGTTCAGGGCCCCTCTGTCTCAGCAGTCCATTCCTGATATTTGTTCCCTTGGATTCCCATAGCCAGTGGAGAGAGACAAGGACGTTATGTAGAATGAGATGACTCAGATCCTCCTTGAACCTACTTCTAAGATATAGTAGTTCCTCATCTATGGTTTCACTTCCTGCTGTTTCAGTTACCCATGGTCAACCATGGTCTGAAAATAGGTGAGTATAGTACAAAAAGAGATTTTGAAGGAGACTACACTCACATTAACTTTCATTACAGTATATTGTTACAATTGATCAACTTTAATTGTTAATCTCTTACTGTGCCTAATTTATAGACTGTCATAGGTATGTATGAAGAGGAAAAAACATAGCATATATAAGGTTCAGTACTATCCACAGTTTCAGGCCTCTACTGGGGGTCTTGGAACATATCCCCTCTGAATAACAGGGGACTACTGCACTCGTCTTAATCTCCCAGAAAGAAAGGGATCCTCACTCAGTTGACTTTGAATCCGACAAAGGGCCATGCTGCCACTGTTCTGGGTGTTGGAATGGCTGGTCTTGCTGCCTCCTCCCACCTCCCCATGGATAAAGGTGAATGTAGAGGACACCACAGGGGCCCATTCAAGCTTGTGTTTTCCTCCCTCCTGTTCCAGAGAGGTCTGCTCGGCTCCCCTGGAGTCAAGGACCATGGTGTGCTGGGGATGTCATCTGCCTCCTTGCATTTTCTGTGGCAGGTGAGTCTGCTCTGTAGCTCTGTCATCCGCCTCCTTGCATTTTCTGTGGCAGGTGAGTCTGCTCTCCATCCTGTGAGAGGTGACTGGGAGGATTCCATCCATTGTGTTCAATCTACTCTTGACCCTGCTCTAGAGATTAAACACCCCAAATGAGGTGTGGGCATGGGAGATGGGCATACTTGGTAAATGGCAGGGGTGGTGTGCCCAACCAGGAGCATGGATGGACAACTGGCTTTTCATGTGGGAAAGGACAAACTAGAGCCCTATTCCTTATCTAACAAAATATTTCAGTAGATGAGCAGCGCTGAGCTCAGGGCTGGAAAGAGCACCTGTCCTTCCACTAACTGCATAATGGCTTAGGGTAGAGGAATTCAAGGACCAGGAAATCCTGCAGGGAGAACTAGAAGGGGGAATTATAGCTGAGGAGGGTTTCAGGTGAGTCAGAAAAGGAAAGATGAGTACTGCCCCAGTGGCCGAAGACAACGCCTGAGAGAAGACTGTTACAGAGAGGAGAGTGAGAGGTGTTGCCTATCCAGATAGCGAGAAAAAAACCATGCTCCCCACATTGTCTGGTCCCAAAGAGCTGTTTCCTAGGAGGTGACCAACCCTGCTGAAACAAGAGGGGGAACCACAATCTGGTGCCCTCACAGCTGGCTTGAGAAGACACCCCTACCCCTCCAACACAGCAAAATATTGGGTAAAGTTCTTGAGGGAAAAGGCAGTTGAGTCTATAAAAACAGGAAAGTTGCTAAGCATTAGCAGCAAGAGCAGTATTCTCTCGGTGGAGATGGCCTCTCTCAAGCTCTTAATTCCTCTCGCAGACCCTGGACTACCTGTCACCAATCCCTTTCTGGCCTACATTTCCCAGTGCTGGCTCCCCAGCACAGCACTTTGGACCTCGACTGCCCTCACCAGACCCATCGATCTTTTGTAGCCTGCCGACCTCGTGGCCCCCTAGGTTCAGGTACAGTTTTGTGGTGCCAGAAACTCCGTCATCAGGACAAGCTGAGTTTTTCCCTGGAGATCTCAGGGGTGGAGGCCACTCCTACTGGTTGTCACAGGAAAATGCAGTAATTGATAGAACTGAGTCTAATCCTTTTCCTGAGAAAATGAAGCTCCAGGGAGATTAAACATTTATTTGAAGTTAGCTAGCATGACAGAACTGAGACTAGGACTCAGAAATACTCCTGACAACCAGGCCAGAAGGTTTTCTGCTGTGCCAAGATTTCCTGCAGCCAAATTGCAGGAAAATATATTGGAGGGGAATGGGAGCCCTGTTGGGCTGGGATTGTGATGTGTTATGAGACTGACTTTGGGAAGGAACATAGAGGGTTCCCTTAGATGTCCACCTGAGCTTACCAGGGGCTGAGTGAATAGAGCAGGTGGGGAGCTAAGAATGTCCTTCCACTCAGCCCAAGTTTCTTTTTAAGTCTTCCCAGTCACCTGACCCAGCTCCACCCTGAGCACCAACGGATCCTGCAGCAACAGCAGCACAGTCGAACACGAAGGTAAAGCCTAGATAAGGAAGAGCAGGGTTGAGGGGGCATGTTTCCTTGTGCCAGGCACCTCCCCCAAACCCTTTGCATGGCTAAGACTCTCCTACTGTTGCCCACCTCTGTGCCCACTCTCATCCTTCCCAGAAAGCTCCACTCCCTGTTCACCACTCCTTGGGAAGTTCTCTGTGGCAGGGGTCTAAAGGGTTGCCCATCCTGGTTTTAAGTCCCCCAGCCAAGAAGCCTTGGTCTCAGCAGCCAGACCCCTATGCTAACCTCATGACCCAAAAACAGAAGGACTGGGTGATAAAAGTGCAGATGGTTCAGCTGCAGAGTGAGAACCCTCACCTGGATGACTACTACTACCAGGTGAGCTCTGGGGTGCTCATCCTAGCCTCTGACCTTGGGGTCAAATGGGCCTGAACTTCCCAGTCCCTCTGATCTTTTCTGATCCTCTCTTTGGCTCATGGAGACCATGTCTGTTCAGGTAGGAGAGACCACCACTACACGATAGGGTCAGTCTTTCTAAAGTTGACATCTCAAGCTCATTTCTCTCTATTCACCTACACTCCAGGCAGATGGGATTAATTACAGTTCCTCAAACACTAAGGTTTTATCTTCATTCTTTGCTGAAAATTTTCCCTATTCACCCTGGAAATGTGGACTATCCCACCTTTATACACTTTTCTGGATCATAGAAATGTCTTATTATAAATATGCATCTACTTACCTTTTACTTTTTAGGTCTAAAACACAAGGATCTAATAAATAGATTCAATTTGAACTAAATTGAACAAATGCTTCCAGGCATTTACTCATCTCACCTTGCTTCCTACTTCCCTTTATTTATGGGGCAAGTCTTTATCCAGCAGGTTTTGGGTTGTCTAGGCTGTTTCATTTTCTCCTCAACATCCATGAGCCCCCTACCAAGGTCCTCACCTTTATCCTTTTCCTATTTACATTAGTGGGTTTTTTCCCCTTTCTTTCCACCAAGCTTCAGACACCCTCCTCTTTCTGCTAGGATCACTGAAAGTGAAATAGTTTTGTACTCTTGCCTTTTTGGCATTGCTTCTAAACAAATGAGCCATATTCAAGTCCTTTTGACTCAGTCAGTGGCTTCGAGTTTAGTATTTCTCAACTTGTGTTTAAGAAGACGTTTGAGCAGTTAAGCAAATCCACAGAAGCATAAGACTGACCAAGAGGCCAACTAACAAACATATCCATGGTGTTAGTTCTGTACTTCAAGCTGCCAATGGCCTCCACACCGTCAGATAACTTCGATTTTTGGAAAGCCCAGGTAGGATAAGATTAAAATGGTGGGGAGAAGGATAGGTGATGTTCAGTGTGTATGGACTTGGAAGTGAAGAATATAGGAAGGTTGCAGATGCTACAACAGGTTTACTTCCTAGCCTTCCACTTGGCTCTCTACCCTGTCCTTGCTCCTCAAGTATGTGATGGAGGAATTCCAAGACAGGTGACATGGGGCCCAGGGTGCTTAAAACACTTTAGAATAACTGCTAGGAGGGCCAAAGGTACTAGCATCATTTCTGAAATGAATGCTGTAGGAATGTGTTAAGAGGTTGCACCTGAGAACCTTAATGCTAAGTCCAGAAGATGAGTATAGGTTTCTTTCTTTCTTTTTTTTTTTTTCCTATTCCATGAACCCTCAGGAATATTATCAGAAGCTAGAGAAGAAGCAGACAGATGAAGAGCTACTTGGACGAAAGAACAAGGTTGAGTTCCTCAAGCTGGTAACACCTTACATTCAGAAGGCAGAGGCTTATGAGTCAGGTAGAGCCAGGGCTGATCTGCTTACTTGGGTTGGGCATCTGGGTGGACGAAAGGTGGAAAGAAGAGGGGAACATGTCTCTGACTCCTTTCATGCAGTGGTTCGGATTGAGGGTTCCCTGGGCCAGGTAGCTGTATCGACATGTTTTAGCCCTCGCCGAGCTATTGATGCTGTACCCCATGGAACTCAAGAGCAGGTAGGAGCATGATCTCAGAACCTCTTTATTTTTCTTTTTTTCTTCCCTGCTTGGGAGAAAGGTCTAGAGCACTTATGTTTGAATTGAGATTGTGACCTAAGAGTGAGGAAGAAGTGTGATCAGACTTCATGTCTAGTCTTTCCAGTTCAATTTCTTAGCTAGTCAGAGGCCTGGGAGGCTGCTGTGGTGATTTGGCTGATAGCCTGGGATCTTGTCTCCTAGGATACTGGAACTGCAAGTAGCCAGAGGCTTCGGGTGTTATATCGGATTGAGAAGGTGAGATATCAGTTCTTTGGGGATGAGTTTCCTAATTTACCTTGGAGAACGGGATGTTGCTCCAATTTACTTTTTCCATCCTCAAATTCCCAGATGTTCCTTCAGTTACTAGAGATAGAGGAGAGCCAGAAGGCTGGGCCTCCACAGCCCCACTTGTCCAAGCCACATAGCAACCAGGTTGAGCAGCTATTCCAGGCCTTAAAGACCCAGGAGCAGAACAACCTTGAGTGAGTGTGGGCAGGTCCTGCCTCAACCCAGGAAAGGAAGTAGTGGCAAAGACATTGGCCTTGCTTCTGCCTTTCTTTTCTGGCATGTGGCCCTCTTGTCTATGCAGAACTCTGAAAATGCTCTCATCTCTCCCTTTAGGGAGGCAGCAGATGGCTTCCTGCAGGTACTCTCTGTGAGGAAGGGGAAGGCCCTGGTGGCCCGGCTGGTCCCCTTCCTGTCCCAGGATCAGGCTGTTAGCCTTCTTCTGGCTATCATGCACCACCTGCCCCTCCTGGTACGAAGGGACGTGGCTGACCAGGTACTGCAGCATTGAGTAGAGAAGAGGATGGTCTCCAGGATGGGTTAGAGATCATTCCTCCTCCCCACTCCCCTCCCCCCAAAGATGCCAGAGAAGGTGCTGGGTAGTGAGGGGTGCTGGCCCTGCCACTCTCAGGTGAGGAAGTTACAGAACAAACTATTATAAGAACAGTGGATTATCTTCAGTTATGGTGAACAAAAGAAAAAAAACAGGTGTATGATTGCACAGGTGTGCTGTGTAGGTTTGAGAAAAGATAAGGACCCCCTGCTAAGTGTCGAGTCCCATATCTAATTTTCTTAGAGAAGGCATCCTAGAACAAGTGGATACTAAAAGGGCTCAGTGGCAGGGATGAACCATCATGAGTGGTGACAAACCTGGTAAGTAACCTGATCAGGAAGGTGCCAAAGGCAGGTCAGCAAGGGAAGAGCCTTGAAGGCAAGGTAGGAGGAGGAAAAGTTGTAGTGGAGTTTGGGAGAGACGCTTAATGATCATCTTGCAGGCCCTACACATGTTGTTCAAACCTCTGGGCAAATGCATCAGTCACTTGACCTTCGATGAACTCCTCCAAGGACTTCAGGGTCTACTGCTGCTACCACCTGGCTCCTCAGAGAGGCCAGTTGCTGTTGTGCTTCAAAATCAGGTAACACTCGTGTTTTCTCTTTTCCTATATGGCTTCCAGGTGGTATCACTGGTAAGGAATAAGTGAGCGAATAGCTCTTTCCGCAAATCTTATTCTCTACAGTGCTTCTCAACTTCTAGTGTGGCTGGGCGTGTTGGCTCACGCAGGTAATCCTAGCCCTCTGGGAGGCTGAGGCGGGCGGATTGCTCGAGGTCAGGAGTTTGAAACTAGCCTGAGCAAGAGCAACACCCCGTCTCTACTATAAAATAGAGAGAAATTAATTGGCCAACTAATATATATAGAAAAAAATCAGCCGGGCATGGTGGTGCATGCCTGTAGTCCCAGCTACTCGGGAGGCTGAGGCAGGAGGATCGCTTGAGCCCAAGAGTTGGAGGTTGCTGTGAGCTAGGCTGACGCCACGGCACTCACTCAAGCCTGGGCAACGAAGTGAGACTCTGTCTCAAAAAAACAAACAAATAAACAAACAAAAACTTCTAGTGAGCACAGGATCACCTGGTGAGCTTATTAAACCTGGTTCCTTGGTCCCACCCACAGAGTCATCAGTAGGTCTGGGTGGGGCCCATGCATCTGATTTTCTAACAAGTTCCCTGATTGCTGCTGCTGGTGTGAGCCTCCTGAGCAGAGGTCTCTGAACTTCTGATTGTGTGCCCCTTTTAGTAAGTTCTGAACCATACCACCCATGTTTTTATAAATCACATACATGTATTATATATAAGATGTACAGACATGTAATATTAGGTACATAATAAATGTTTTGAAGGATGAGACTCTAGATGTGAAAGTTCTGGTATCATCTTCCAGTATCTCGGAGGATTATCTTGTGTAACCCACTCTGAAGACCTTTGCTTAAAGTAGTGCTTCTTAAAGTGCAGTCCACAGGCTCCCTGCCTCAGATTCCTGGATCTATTTCTGATCTACAGACTGATTCCTAAGGGTGGAGCCTAGAATTATGCACTTAATCAGCTCTCTAAGAGTATCTTTTGGGAAATTCAGAACAGTGATTGCTTAGGAAATCTCTGAGTTCTTTGGCTAGCCAGTGTAAAACCTGACAGCTCTTGTGGGTACTGGACTCCATCTATAAATGTGAACCTGCTCTTTAGTTGGGAAGATAGCAGGACCAGGGAAGCACTGAATGCCTAAGGTGAACTCATTTTACATTGGAATGCATATCACTTGCAGTTTGGAATATCTTTGCTCTATGCCCTGCTGAGTCATGGGGAGCAGCTGATATCCCTGGATTCTTCCCTAGAGGAACCAAACAGTGACCATACAGCTTGGTAAGATCATAAAGACCTTATAAGTACTATTTCAGTACTTGTGGGATGTGCAGGCTGAGCCAGATGAGATTTCCTAAGTGGCATATTCAAGTACTGGGGAGGAGGTTATGCAGAAAAAGGAGAAATAGGGTTATAGCTGTTCCTTCTTCTTCTTCTTCTTTTTTTTCTTTCCTATAGTGCCAACACAGTAATTAAAGAGACAAGCTTTAGGGTCAAACAAATCTGGATTTGAATTCTGTCTCTGTCACTTGCTAGCAATATAACTTTGGGGCAACTTATGTCACCACTTAATCTGTTCATCTATAAACTAGGAATGATGGAACTAATGCCTTTAGAGGTCTTATGATTAAACAGGAAGGAAAATGCCTGGCATATACTGAACATGCAAATGTTCCCTCTTAATTGCTACCTACGGGTAGGGAAATATAATAGCGGCAGTGGAAGGATAATAAGAAACCTTGGCTCCAAGTGTTACTTTCCTGTATAAATACAAATATGCTTATTTATGTTTATGCCCTCCAGGACAAATACGGTGGTTTTGATTGCCTGGGAGATAGCCCAAATGCCTACAGCCTGTCTGGCAGAACCCCTAAACTTCCCTAGCAACTTACTTCCCCTGTTCTGTCACCATGTGGACAAACAATTGATTCAGCAGCTAGAGGCCAAGATGGAGTAAGTGATGGAAGAAAAAAGGTCATAGCCCATTCAAGCCCAATCTAGGTTCTTCTCCCCTCCCTACTTCTTTCAAACCATGAGCATGGAGGATCACATGCTCTTAGAAGTAGTTTTAGACAGTCTGGCATTTATTACTGAGTCAAAAGTCTTGCCCAATTTAGGGTCCAATGGACCATTTCTTCAGCCAAACCTTTTAATTTATTCCCAGGTACTTTGGTAATTTATAGTGCTAAGCAATTTGAAGGCAAGATTTAGTCACAGAAGAGTAGAAAAAAATTAGAGAAACTGAATTATTCATTCATTCAAAAAACATTTGAGGGGCCGGGCGCTGTGGCTCACGCCTGTAATCCTAGCTCTTGGGAGGCCGAGGCGGGCGGATTGCTCAAGGTCAGGAGTTCAAAACCAGCCTGAGCAAGAGCGAGACCCCGTCTCTACTATAAATAGAAAGAAATTAATTGGCCAACTGATATATATATAAAAAAATTAGCCGGGCATGGTGGCGCATGCCTGTAGTCCCAGCTACCCGGGAGGCTGAGGCAGAAGGATCACTGGAGCCCAGGAGTTTGAGGTTGCTGTGAGCTAGGCTGACGCCACGGCACTCACTCTAGCCTGGGCAACAAAGCGAGACTCTTTTTTTTTTTTTTTTTTTTTTGAGACAAACATTTGAGGGACAACTATTCCAGGAAAGATGCATGAATAACATGGAGGTCATCTTTGTACTCAGAACTTACCATCTACTAGGAAGAGCCAGTTACTATGCAAGTCATACAAATACTTATAAAATGGAATTGCGTTTGCAGTTAACACTTTTTCTCTTTGTAGGCTTGCCTGGATCTACTGATCTGTTTGTTCTGGAATATGCAAAAGTGCGAAGTTTAATTATCAGGCACTAGCTGTATGAGCTGTGTCTACCGGGATCCAGAAAGTCTGAAGACACTTCTTATGCCTTGATACATTGGAGGACCCTACCCCAAACATTTTCATATCCTCCAAAAATCTAAATGATGTGCCTAAAAATAAGGCATTGCATAATGTATAATTAAAGAGATAACAGAATGATGTATTGGGACAAGGCCTTGTTGTACTTAACAAAAGTAACCTAAGAAATTGCTTCACTGTTTTAACTTTTTACAGAGAGAAAACAGCCTTAGCTGAGCTATGAGGGTTGGGTATAAATATCTCCCTGTGACAAGAGGTGCTTGGTTCCATTTTGACAAACAAGGTCATGCATTTATCAACAAATACTGGAGTGCCTCTTATGCACCAAGCACTGTTTGAGGTACAAAAGTTACAGCGGTGAGCAATGCCAACGTCCCTGCTGTTTTGAAGCTTACAGTCTGATTGGATAGGAACTGACACAAAATATCAAATAGTGATAAATACTATGCTGAAAACAACAAAACTGGGTAATGAGAGACTAGAGTGAAGGGGACTGCAGATTGAATAGTGCAGGAAGGCCTGTCAATAGACGCTACACTGAGGCCAAACTGTTCCCAACATGGAAAAGAATGTGTTATGGTACTACCTTTCCAAAACGCCTACTCAATACCTTCTCTCACCTCAACCCTTTTGCTCCTCTCCCCCTCTGCTTTATCATCCTTCTGAGGAAAATCTCCGCCCCTTACCTACTCCTTCTCTCTGCCTGTTACAATGGGTATTATTTGACTTCATTCAGATCCACACCCTCATGATGGATCCGGACTGTAAACCTTGGTCTGTGCTACTAAGGAAATTGTACCACCCCAGAGCCTGTAAACAAATAATAGCACAATAAAAAGAGAGGTAAGGACCGGGTTCCCAGGGAGCAGGAGGCAGTTAGACTAAGAAGGCAAAGGATAGAGACACAGCGTGAGGATTTCAAGTGTTCTAAGCCTGGGGCAAGGGTAGAATGGCTTTGTGGAGCGGTCGGTACCGCTCCCCACCGGTAAGGAACGGAACAGGGCAGAGCCAGCCGAGCAACCCCCCCCCCCGCCCCCAGCGAGTCACGAGATAGCACGAGAGCGGCGCGGCACACTGCGCATGCCCACGACGCATCAGGTTCCGGGCGGCTCGGGCGCAGGTGACCGGAAGGAACGGCCGCGGCCAAGATGGCTGCGGAGGAGGGGGCCTGGAGCGCTGCTTCTGCTCGCGGTGGTGGCCGCCCCGCGGCCAGGGAACGGATTCTACCCATATTGTTGGTGTCGGTCCCCGCCGAGGCGACGGGGCAGCTGGGTTCTCGGGCGCAGCTGCACAGGGAGCAGGAGGCTCTAGGGAGCCTGACGGCTGCGGGCAGCCTCCAAGTGCTTTCCTTAACGCCTGGCGGCCGGGGCGGGGGTGGCTGCTGCCTCGAGGGCCCTTTCCAGCAGTAAGTGCTGAGGGAGACTGGGGCAGAGTGTGGGGAGTTTGGAGCTCCGGCATATGGGTGGCGGGAGAGGGGTGACAGCCGTGGGAAATACCTCAGGGGCAAGCCCGGTCCCCTTTCAGAACTTGTCCCCCCAGCCCAAGGCGGAGCACTCGCCTTGTTGCATCCCCATACCCCTGCGTCCCTGTTCTGGGTGGGCGGAGGCGGTATCTCGCTTCTCTGCCACCTGCCGAGAACCCAGAATGGATCCCAGCTTAGTCGCTGACTCTTTCGTTAAACGTGGGATGACACGGTGTCACACCCATTTTCTTCTTTCAGTTGAATCAGATGATCCCCAGCTGACACCTAAACTTTGAATCAACCTTTTTCTTGTCCTTGGAACGAATAGCGTTTTCCTTCACATGCAGGCTTTCTTCAAGGACATATTTATTCAACAAATATTATGTGCCTACTGTTACCTAGGAGCAGTGCCTAAGAAGTTGAGAAAGACAGTTCTTACATGTGAGCCGTACATGATTTGGGAAGACAATTACAATAACGGATTACTTTGCACTTCTATAATTCCCCGTCCAAGACTTACAGTTTTACAACATAAAGTTTGGGAGTGCCCTCTGAGTATTTGGGTTCTTTTGAATTATATTATATTTTGAGACAGGACCTCCCTCTGTTGCCCCAGCTAGAGAGCAATAGCGTCATATAGCTCACTGCCGTGTTTCCCTGAAAATAAGAAAAGGTCTTATATTTATTTTTCCTCGAGAAGACACCCTAGGGCTTATTTTCAGGGGATGTGTTATTTTCCCCTGGAAGGCTCAGCTTGCAGCACGCAGAGGATGGCCAGGACCTGACAGGGGGAGCCGATCTTGTTGGTGTGGCTGCCTGCACCTTTCCAGTCACCTCTGGAATAGTAGCTGTCTCAGGGCAGATGAGAAGGGCTGCTCGTTTTATTTACCGCTCTGCTAGGAAATGCATGGGTTGTGCAGATAGCTGGGTAGCCAAGCCCATCACTAGGTCTTATGTTGGGATAGGGCTTATATTGCACAAATGCTTAGAAATCCTGCCTGGGCTTATTTTATGGGTAGGTCTTACTTTGGGGGAAACACAGTAGTAGAAATATTTTAGAAATTATCTCCTTTAAGACTTTGAGTAGCCAAAGGGTGTCTTACTTTGGTATCTCCTGGTGGGATAACAATGCTGATATAGAACATTTCTATCATCATAGACAATTCCATTGGACAGACATACTCTATAATATACCATTTTAGTCTTCAAAGTCTATAATTGCAAATAATTTCTTTTTTAAAAGGCTTTGAAAGCATTCAGCAAAAGCCTATTTTGTTAATTGTGAGCACCACCTCATAAGTAATACATATTTGATTGTTAATACTTATTCTTGATCATAACAGTTCTTTAAACATACCAGTCAGGATTTAAGATGAAGGAATAACCAAATGCAGTGGTTCACTCCTGTAATCCCAGCATTTGGAGAGGCCCAGGTGGGAGGATCACTGGAGCCCAGGAGTTGGAAACCAACCTGAGCAGCACAGACCCTCATCTCTACCAAAAAAAAAAAAAAAAATTAAAAAGATGAACGAAAAAAAGGAGCCATCATTTCTTGCTCTGAACCCCTTTTTTACTTGCTATATTATTGTGTTGGTGTGAAGGGGCAGAAGTGAAAGAAGTGGGGAAGGAGAGGGAGAAGAAGAGGGAAGTTCTAGAGCAGTTTACATTCTCTTAATTTGGAGTGTAGAATTAATGATACTAGGTGAGCTAAATTGGTGTCTACTGATTGTGCCTTTCTACCCCACCATTGTGGGTAAATATTGTGAATATAGATTATAATCTAATCTATTTTCTTAGGTTTGTGTGGGAGGATTCTCATAACAGCAATATACCAACCAACAAACCCAAACTGCTTGCTCTTAGTGAAAATTATGAACTGCTCATCTATGAGTTTAATTTAAAAGATGGACGATGTGATGCAACCATTTTGTATAGCTACAGTAGGGAGACATTGCAAAAGCTCATTGAAGATCAAGATATCAGTAAGTATCTACAGATGGTCTTTTAGCATATTTAAATTTGTGACATTGTCATATAATTTTATATATTTCAGGACAAGTTCTCATAGATATGAAATCAGGGAGGGAGATCTATATTGTCCAATATAGTAGTCACTAGTCACCTGAGGCTATTGAGCACCTGAAATGTGGTTAATATGAGTTAAGATGTACTTTAAGTGTCATATACATATCAGATTTTGAAGACTTATTACTAATAAAGTGAAATATTTTAACTTTTTTTATTGATGAAATATTTCAGATATGAACCAAATAATACATATCAGAATGAATTTTGCCTGTTTCTTTTCAGTGGCTACTAGAAAACGTAAAATTATATATGTGGCTCACATTATATTTTTGTTGGACAGTGCTGATCTAGACTGGTTACAAAGTTGTTGACTGTATCCTGTCCTGATGTCTGCAGGGAGCAGAAATCAAAGCACTCAGGCTTCTGTTTTTAAGGCAGTAACATACTCCCCATCCTTGATTATAAGGTTTCTTCTCTTTCTTTAAAAAAAAAAAAGTCTGGCCTGGTGCAGTGGCTCATGCCTGTAATCCTAGCATTCTGGAAGGCCAGTGCGGGAGGATTGGGAGGATCGCTTCAGTTCAGGAGACCAGCCTCAGCAAGAGCAGGACCCCGTCAATACTAAAAATAGAAAAACTTGAAGTCCCACCTACTCAGGAGGCTGAGGCAAGAGGATCACTTGAGCGCAGGAGTTTGCAGTTCCAGTGAGCTATAATGATGCTACTGGTGATGCTACAGGGTGACAGAGCTAGATTCTGTCTCAAAAAATTTTTTTGACTGTTCTTGTGGGGTCACATGGGTAAATTGGCTTTTTTAAATCTTACTTCTAGTGTGCTGTCAGACTTTGGCCATAAACAGAAGGAATCTGTGGGCCATCTTTATTCATCCTTTTATCTACCTCCCAATAACTGTTTACTTAGGTGGGTCTGAACAGTAACAGCTTAGAGTTGGACTAAGTTCAGTTTCTTTTTTGTTTTACCTATTTGTGTTATGTTTATAAAATTAAATTTACCAGTTGTAAAATTGTGACCATGTATTTGAAATAATATCCTTTTGTTTTCTAGGTATTCCCTTATTGTCTTTGAGAATTCTGTCATTTCATAATAATACATCATTATTGTTGATCAACAAATGTATTGTCCTATGCATTATTTTTCCTGAAAGAGATGCTGAAATTAGAGTACTCAACTGTTTCACACTACCCTTGCCTGCACAGGCAGTGGACAGGATTGTTGACACACAGCTCTGCAGAGAAATTCTTTTTGTTTTGAGTAGCTTAGGCTGGATCTGTATCCTTGGCAGTAAAGATGTTTATTCATACTGTAGGGGCAGAGAATACCTAGAAAGATGAGCCTTTTTAGAGTTTTAGTTTTGGGGGCTGGGATATAGGGAGAGTGGTTAGTTTTTCTGTAAAGTTTTTCAGGGAAAAAGATCCTCATAAACTTAAAATACTCAGGTATATTACTGTATATTCTATATGAATATTTTCTAGTATATACATAATTTTCATAGTCATTATCTTATCCATATGTAGTCATGTTCTTTTAAAATTGCATATGCTCTGCATTACCTATTTATTCAAAATGTACTTATTGAATATCTGCTATGGTGCTTGTTCCAGGAAGGATTGAAA